TCCTCCGTAAAGCTAACCAGAAGCGCATGCTTGACGACGTTGTTATCCAAGAGGGAGAGTTTACAACGGACTACTTCACTAAACTAGACGTCCGCGACATGATCGACACGGAAGACGTCCTCGAAGGCCACGACGAAGCCAGCGCAGCCATGGATCGGGTCCTCGAGAATCGTGTCGCAGCCAGTGCACGTGTCTTCGAACAAGCCGAAGACAAAGAAGACATTGATGCCGCCAAGAATGCCCAAAAGGAATTGGAGCACGCGGACGACGGCGACTTCGACGACCGCACACCTGGCCAAACCCAGGCCGGCACACCACTGGCGACGGGGCCCACGACGGGGCCCGATGAATCAACAACAGCGGGCACTACTCCCGGTCCGCAATTGCTCACCTCCCCGCAGGTGCATGCGGTTGACGAACCTGTTGACGTCGAGATCCAACCTGGCCATATCGATAATTACCTATTACGGTTCATGGAGTGGAATATGAAGGACGAACCACTTGTCTTACCAGCAGATAAGAGCAAGAAGAAGTCCAAGAAAGGCAAGGAGCATCGGCTCCGTAAAAGGCGTCGTTGATTTGAACAAATGGAACAAGACAGAATTCATGCGGCACGCGATTGGAATGGATTGAATCGGTGGAATGAATGTATTGAGAGGCTAACGAATAGACGATCGATCAGGACTGGTCGACGTCTCTATGTAATTGTATTCGCATGATTATATTTTCCTCTGCTTAAATCTCTCTTCTTTATATATTTCCTTGCCCTTGGGTTTAATTCTCTTCTATCTGTCCAGTGCACGCATTGGGATTACTACCTTATTTACTTTTCCTTTTCTCCCTTCTATATTCTTTTCCCTCTTACGTCTCGATATTATAAGGTGATGGAAAGGTTCATTCCATTGATGATTAGCGGGCGTTTTGCTTTGAGAGAGTATGTCTGGAGACGATGAAATCACCGTTCTACCTATCCTATTTCCCAGAAAGACCCAAGATGATTACTTTGTACATGCTAATACTTCTCTTCTCTCCTTATCCCCATCCCTTCTCCCACTTATTGAAAGACGCTCCTGACAAAGACGCTCCTGACAAAGACGCTCCTGACAAAGACGCTCCTGACACTCCAGATGTACTTGATTATGATTGGTAAACCACTTTACAATGGCAATGGTACTCTCGGCTCCGATATCGCACCCATATGCTGCCACGAGATAATGACATAAATAGATGGGATAAGAATAGTATAAGGAAGGCCCTAGGGTGACTTTGTAGCTTTCGCTGATTAGTTGAGTAGAAAGAAGTAAAAAAAATATTGACTCATGTTCATTCGTCCTCGACCAGTTCTGAGATCCCGTGCGTCACAGTCATGACCATGTTGGACCTTGTCCCAAACACGTTAATCTGCATAAGGGACCACTTTCGACTGGTCCAGTCTTCTGGGCTACAGCCACAAGTGTCCTTAATGTCAGGGTCTATTGCCCAACTTGTTGACACCTCCGAATGACGAGAATGACGGGCGTCGAGTGGGTAGCTGAGAGAGTTTATGATGAAACACGGACATCTGTGACGACCCTTGCATATATTTCCCTATCTCTCTCTCTCTCTCTCTCTGTCTGCCTGCCACATGGGTTTTGGCTAGGGCAGGGCTAGTCTCATACAGGAAGGCGATGCTGGCAGGTGTCTCTCACCATGTGGTTTGGGGGGAGAACAGACTCTTGACACTCGTCTCCGCTGGCTGTGTCACATCACTCCCGTCTTGCATATGACTGGACCAACAACAAATCAGTCCCACGAGTGAGGATGTGCATGTTTGGAACTCGGCGGATGGAAGCAGTGTTGGTATGAGTGAGGGTGGAGTGATGGTTTCAGCCATGTATATTAATTTGCCGATAGGAGGGTGGAACAAACTCTGAGAGGAAAGTCATCGGCACCACCTCGATCCAAATTCCTTCGAGGGCTTGTGGAATAATACAAACAGTGAGGAGGAGTAGAAGGAAGGCGAGAGGTCAGCCTAAGGTAGTTAGAGTTTAGATCCACATGTATGTACCCAGTACCTGAAGTCTATTTCTGAAACCTATGCAACTCAGGGCCAATGTGAACGGCTGCTATGTCTGATTAGGCAAGAGAAAAAGTGGCCCCGCATGCATTACTATCTTAGCATGCAGACTATAAGATGGAAACTGGCTCCATATGATTCGTGCTGCTCAATAGACTAACCATCTGTGGTCAGGACTGCGAACTGGTGTGCAGAGGAGAGAATCAGCGGAGATAATGCTTGTCTCGGCCAAGTCGCCTCGTGCGTACTTGCCCTGAGTTCCGAGTTCCGAACTGAATTGCCTATAACCCCCAGACCTTTGGATACTTCCCCATCTTAGAAAGTTCAGATAGAGCGACATGCGTACCATGGAACGCCGTTGATTCCGGGTCTTAGGGGCTACCGCACTGCCGAGTGACTGAATAATCTGTGAAGAAATACACGCGCATCCACGTGAACTAAATCGGCAGCAAGCCTCCGATGACGCAGCGTGGTTTTTTGATCGGTTGACCAACGAGAAGGCCTTGATCGACTCAAGATTCTCCCGAACCGGAGATTGAAAGCAATTGGAGTCGTACCAGATGCACGCCCGGTACAACGGCTGTCTCCAACATCCGCCACGAGCTCGGAGTGAACCTTGGGAGGACAAGGCACGCAGACACATACGGCCAACGATTCGTTCACCCTTTCACCTGACCAGCTCCTGATGGAAAATCCCCACTGATCAGCAACCTGGAGATGGGGAAAGCCGTCGAAGGGAATGAATGGCTGGCTGATCCGCTACCAGACCGGACTTCAGAAGCCCTTGGGTGAGCGATGTGGCCGATGTAAGGCTGCCCACGACTTTGAGTTTCCTCGTGGGCATGAACAAACCACGATAATGTCAGTTGAGCTATGAAGCCCCAGCGTTACTTCCGAAAACGGGAAAACGCCCGTTTGGCGATTTTCGGACGAAAGTCTAAATGCTCCCCACGACGGAGATGTATACTGATTCGGAGAGTTGCTGAGTTTAAGCTGCTGCCTCTGCGAATCTCCCCCTCATCTCGGTACAGTTGCTGGACCTGGCGTCCTCAAGAGAACGGTTCAGGAAAAGATTGCTCCATGGTTATCCGGAGGGATACTAGCTCCGCGGAAAATGATCCTCGAGCTGCATTAGTCTGTGTGGGTGTGGGGAGAACCGTTGGGGCTGAAGGGAAATGGCGAGTGGTGATTGCTCGCTGACGGTGATTTGAAATTCCTAGAGTCGAGCTTAACCAATCGAACTACTTTAGTATTAGGATCGTTAGCAGTAGCTTTGGAGGAGATAGTCCGGCTCACTCCTAAACTGAATCAGACACTAGATAGCACGATGGACCAGGACTAACTAAAGAAGTGAACGGACTATCCCCTGTTATTATGCTATGATCTGCAAGGCGGGTCTTCGACTGGGGACGAGGAAATGAAAGTCCAGTAGCACCCATCGGAAGCCCAGACCGAGTCGATGTTGGGATGAGCCGGAGTAGGAGTGACAGCACAGGACGCAGAGTGCATCTACGCTGCGACCGCAAGGCGAGAAAAGGCCATGTGACTCCCTAGCGGACGATTGTGTTGCCAGTTCATTTCCACATACCATCCACCTACATCATGATCTTCGCCAGCTCCAAACGTCTGGATTCCCCATCGGGGGGTTCTGCCCGGGATGGGCTGAGAGAAGGATTGGATTGCCCGGAGTTTCTTCGGCGCCTATCAGCTTCCGATATTCAATCAGCTTCCGATGAACGCAGCTTGCTGATTTGCTCACCCCGGGCTTTCTCCAGTGAGGGAGGGTCGTCATTCCGATGAACATCTGTGATCTATCGGGATTAGGGATAGTTGAGGTGGTTAAGACTTAAAGAGAGTAATATGGATGTAACAACAATGACTACACCTTGCATGATCTAGATCATCGTCGATTGTCTGATAACAACCTTTAGACTCAGGATCAGTCCACGTGCGGATCCGACCGTAAGACACTGGGGACCATTGAGATAGCCCTTGGGATCTTCACCCTGGCGATGGTGAAACGACCATTCCCCCAAAAGGGTATCCTGGCAGCTGGTCAGGAGTGAAAAGTGACTCTGGCCGTTTTGAGACAGACCATTAGACCAACACTGACTGACCAACAGGCTCGGAGGAGTCCAACGAAAGTAGTATAGCCACCGAAAACCCAAAGAAATCCCCTTAAGGCCCTCAAAGAAGGTTTCGGAAACCTTGGATTTCGGATCTCAACATAAGTGCATGTCCGCCAGTCAGAACAGCGTGATTATTGTGTGCACGGTCGCCATTTGTTGGTGGGGAGAGGGTAGATGACCTGCTCGAATCATGCTGGAGAAAAGCCGGGGGACTTCTGGGAGGAACATGAGTTGGAAAGCAACCGCTGTCCTCATACTTGGGAGATAGAAAGTAGTAACTGCAGGGTTTGCTTTCCTTGATCCCTGGGAATTTAGAAAGGTAGGTGGAATTAGTTTCTATGCTTTAGCGTCCATATTAAAATTTTAATCAAGACAGGGATTCGAGATAAAATTCTGAATCAAGCAATCTAACCATAACAGACGGAGTTCACAGCCTGCTTCACACCCCAAGCCTCCCCCGTATTCAGTGATTCACACACAAGTCCACTGCAATTAATCTATCGTAGACTTACCTGTACTATCTATAGCCTCTATCTGTCGCATAGATGCCCGCCATGCGCTCCATTGGGGCTGAGTACAGTATAGTTTAGTACTTACGTGCACTCAGTTGCATTGGCTGTGTCTACTAGTACATAGTATCTAGGTATCCTGTTGCAGGGAACAGCGGATCTGCCATCCGGTGGGCGAATGACCTTAGACGCAGGTACACAACCTTGCACCGATAGACGCAGGGGCATATTCTACCTGCTAGCTTTTCATTCTTCTTTTTTTTTTTTTTTTTTTTTTTTTTTTTTTTTTTTTTTTTTTCACTCTCTGTCTTTTTACGTAGTAGTTTCCTTTTTGTTTTTGTTTTTGTTCTTTTTTTTTTCTTTCGTAATTACTCCGGACCCAGATGCCTGAGTGGTGCACTCACGTCTCCTTGGCCTCCACCCTAGCCAGCCACGGTGACGGGAGCGTGAAAATCATCCGTTCCGAAGGCTCGCAGTCTGCTTTCCCGTCTGTACAAAGCGACTGAACGGGCCTATCGATGCTTGACGGGGAAGCCGACGAGATGCAGTAGTCCTCTTTTCTTCTTCTTCGTCGTCGTCGTCGTCGTCTTCTTCTTCTTCTTTTTATTTTTTTTTTTCTTTTATTTTTTTTTCTGAAATCGGCCATCTCCTGTTCGCACGCCCTGAAGACCCGAAATAAACACCTGCAGAGTGCAGAGGAATTTTACGGTGGACAAACCAGCAACCGAAGGTCAGTGCTCGCTTGTGGAGTGCGTCCTTCGCACGAGGGTGGCAATGTGACCAGTCGCTTGCTGTAATTAATTAGGAACGCATTGTAGCGGGAGGGCTTCGTCCTGATCGCTTGTCAAGGTGCCACGCCGTCCCAGGTGGTTGCAGCAGAGCTGCGCATCAGGCAATCCCCGAGGTGATGTATCAGAAAACTGTAGGACGCAACCTTATCGGCAATTAATGAAAGGAAGAAGACCGCAGAACCCGCGCACCAGAGAAGAGTTTAGTGAACGGTTGAGCTGGTTTAAACCCCTCATATTGGGATTGTATCTAGAATGCAGGTGAATCTGGTTGCGCAGAAGGAGGTTGCCTTCTTCGGAGGTGTGTTTTGCAGCTTTGGATTGGGCCGGTCCGAAAGGTGAAATCCGGGCGGGCAAGACAGGACGGCCACAATCCATCGAGGGGAGGGGCCTCGGGAAGATCAGTGGCAGATCCACTCAGTGCAAGATGGATTTGCCCCCCTCCCCCCCTCTCTGTCTCCCCAGATCAATTTGAGCGTGCGACCTGCTGATGGGGCTTAGACAAATCGACCGCGAGAGGCGTCTGGAGGGGCAATCTTAGTTTACTTTTCCATCTTGAGATTCGGATGGGGCAGAGATAGATTTAGTTGGTGAAATCAAAGTGATGATGACAGTAGTAGCGGTAGAAAGTGGTAGTGGTGGAGGAGGAGGAGGAGGAGGAGGAGGAGGAGGAGGAGGAGGAGGATGCTGCTGGCGGGACGGATTGCGCACTCCACTTCCGTCAGGAACTAGGTGGCATTAGTCCGCACACTATTTCTCCTCACATCTCCTGGCACTGCTGGCACTGGCCGCAGTTCAGCACAATCGTCGATAGCGCGTGAATGGGGGAAAATTCGCACTGGCCAGTGCTGCCTAGGCGCGATTTCCCTTCCAGTGTTAGTGGAATTCCGCTGGAAATCGGCCTTTTATCCGAGGCCCTTTACTACCTCCTTGTTTTCGGTCTGGAAACGTGAGTCCGAATCTCGAAGCTATGAATGACATCTTTGAAATATTAAGAAGAAAGAGAGTTTCTAACGGCTAGAGTCTGTTTGAGACTTTCACCTGCTCTTACCTGGTCAGGTTTTGATCTTCCGGTTTAAGCGCCGTCAAATGATTTTGATCTACACACAGGGTCTGATGGATGATACTAGGAAGAAAGCGGCATATTTACCGAAATGCAAAGTTACTACATATTAACTAGTTAGTTATCATCTTCAATGACTTACTTAGTCACAGCTCGTGTCGGAAGAGACGCATGTACAATTCTTTTTTGCTGCTGCAGTGGGCGAGGGCTCGACCCAGCTGTAAGATTATCATCGCCCCCTGGGTATGTACTTTGGTTCGTGTGTAGGTTCATACTTAGTATCTTCCAGCTGCAGAAAATTTCGACTATGCATCCTGACTGCCGAGATCGATGCAGCCATGTATGCACGCAGATAATTGCTTCTGGACCTTCAGCTCCTCCCGAACAGCTCGGAAGGAGAAAGAAGAAAGAAGAAAGATACTAGCACGTAACCCAGCAGAGAATTGTCGCATCGAACGGAAGATGCAGGAAAAGCATGATTATACTGAGAGTTGCTGCCGATGTTTCCTCCTGTTGGGCATACTTTTTCTGCGTGCTGGCTTGCTCGGCGGCTGAGGAGAAACATTCTGCTGCCGATTTACTTCCCGTGACCAGACTCGCCCCATCTGCGGCGATAAACCATAATTTGACAAAGAACGGGTGAGGGGGAAACGAGACGAGTGGCCACAGACAGCACCTCCTCCTGCTTTGTCGGGTTCCAGTCAACGACTTGACCCGACCCAGAACTTAAAAAGGGATTCGGCCAACATGCCCGCGGCATCCCACAAAACACAACACCCTCGGTAACGTCCGGAAGATGGCATTTGCTGCAGAACGTAAGTAGACGAAAGATAGCGTACCAGCGAAATGATTGATGATAACGAAAGATTGAAGAGAAAGGGGAAAAGAATCCTGACTTCAAGAGAGAGAAATAATCGAGAGTAGACCTAGCTGGCGGGTACCCCAATTTGACGAATATTATAATGAATTACAAGAATCAGTTGGTATTTACCAATCAACTCCCCCAGAAACCCTCACTGAGGGGGCAGTATTTACATCTACTATACAAGGTACAAATGATGTACCTCATGTGGGATGACTTGATAGTCTCTTGAGACACTTGAGGCATAAACCACCACCACTAACTGCCCTGGCTACAACAACCCTTGGGGGTGTTCGAATTGATCGAGGGAATTTCCGATCCAATGAGTCAAAAGGACCGATCATTGACACTAAGTAGTAACCAACATCAGCTGGATCCCCGAAGTTTCATCAGCGGCGCGATCGGAGAAGATACCAATCAGCTCGTGCTGAACCAAAGGTACCAAATGTCGCATCACTGCGCATGGCATTGCATGGCATTGCAGCTCGCCCTTTGTAGCTCTCTTGACAATTCCCGATGCACCTGCGCCTACAGGTGTAGTAGGGATTGTAGCAAGGTACTAGGTAAGCAACTAAGGATCCTGGTTTGTGCCGGATCTCATCTACATCTATTCCGCCCGCACTACATTAGTTCTATCTGCGACATCCTTTCCGGTAGGTAAAGTGTAGTAGTACCTAGATACTACTACTACCTCTTAGGCTGTTATCGAAAACAGTGTACATTTAGTTTAGTGGGCAGGCTGAATTTGATTTTCCTCTCCGGTTCCGTTGCCTCCTTCACAGTCACCTGCTTTCCGAAACAGGCAGTTCGACAGATGCGCCAAGTTCTCGACCCAGTTTAGACTCCTGATCGGAAGGAGAGATCCTCCTTTAGGGCCACTAAGTCGCGCACTAAAGTACGGCGCACTAGGTACGGTAAGGCCAGGAGTGACTAAGGACGAAAAGACTAACTAACTACTACTAGAGAGATCGCCCGCGATGGCGAACGAGGTGCCTACTGTCCCCGCGGTCTGGATTTGTGTTTGTTGGGTGTTTGGGAACGTGGGCATCACCCATCCATGATCTCAGTATCCGTTAATTTCCCTCCTTCAGCGGTTTCCACCCCCTCCCTTCTCATTTCTTCTTGATCCCAGCAGGAGATTAGGTTTGTTTGATCGGACCATCAATGCCAAATTGGGAGTACCTCCATTGTGCAATTTTTAAAGACTAGATCGATCTGAGTTCTAAATGAGTTGAGGGGCAAATAGAGATACGCGCAACAGGCTAAACGTAGAAATAAAAATGAATTAGAAAAGTAATAACTCTAGTCAATTAATTTAAAAATTGCAGAGCGAAGTGTAAAAAAGGAAAAAGGCAAAGTGCCAGGGGGAGGCGATTGAAGGAGCCGTCAGTTTGACATGGAGCAAGGGAGAACGGAAGTTAGTCGTAGTAAGTAGTGGTTTAGTGAAGGATGTATAAGTCAACTGGCACTATTGACGGGATGACAACCAAGCAGCCCAATGAGAACAATGCGTTGCGGAGCAAGACGGGGCAGAAAGGAGGGGCCAAAGGACCCAACTGCAGCAGGAAGACATAAAGAGAAAGAGAGCAAAAGGAAGTAAGCAGGTGACATGAACTGACTGACAAGATATCCCGCGATTAACTACTAGGTACTGATTTAATTTACCTCGGAGAAAGATGATCCATCAGGTTCCATAATATTTTTTTTTTTTTTTATTATCATGATCTCATTTCTTATTTCATTCTTGCCCAGTGTAAACTTTCAGAAGTATTGATACTGTAATACTGTGACCACATCGATAAGAAGAAGGCAGCGATGGGGGCGCTCTCCAACGATGATTTTGGGTACCTGATCCATGACTGCCTACCACGGGTTTATCGGATAAGTGAGATAGAGAAAGATTAGGATAGGAAGATAGAAGATAGGAGATCGAATGGTACAAACCAGGCCAGCGCGTGCCATAGCCAGTGCCGGTGGTTACAGAGATAGGTGATCCTTACTTTTCTTCGTCTTTTTGACGCAAAGAAGAGCCAATTGTCTTGCCTCCGGGGTATTTCCCCCTTCCATTCATTTGCCATTGTCGTCCGCCACGGTTATAATGGCTGGCGTGAATTGCACGCCGCACTTTCGCCTTTGGTTGCTTCTCCAAATCATGACCCGGGGATCGACGGAAAAGCTTACTTCAGGGCTCCAACCCAAGACCATGGAAAAAGCGCTCCTGGATTAAACCTGAATGACAGGACCCGAGACAATGGGCGTACCACCAGCAGCAGAAGCAGCTAAAAAGTCCGGCCGAAAGGGGACTCCATTCAGTTCTTGCCCAATGGGGCCGCATGGCCGATGCCGTTCCCTGGCCATCGTCGATCTCCCATGCGTTCGTTCTCTCTGGCTGGCTTCTTTTCCTTTTTTCCTTTTTCTTTTTCTGATTTTTTATTTTTCTATTTTTTCTTTTTCTTTTTCTTGGCTGGGGAGGCGCACGAGCGTCCGTCGCTATCGCTCATGGAGTACCTTTTCCTGGACCCATCCATTCTCTTTTGCACCATCCAATGTCCCATATCCACTCTTTTTCAGGGCTCCACTTCTGCCTCCCTCCTGCATTCACTCACTCACCTCACTCACTCACTCACACTCTCTTCCCTCATTGTCCCCCCTCATCCACTCTCATTTCTCTCTTCCATGGAGTCTAAAGCCCCGTAGGCCGGAGCGATGGCGTCTTTCTCCAGCGTGGGTCCCTATCCACACCCACTTCATTCATTCCCTCCGTACTTCCTCTCCTCCTAGCAACATTAGTGTGTACCTGGGGGGATTTCCCACTGGTCCTTCCTCTCTATTGGGTACTTTGCTCCGGACCCTCTTCCTCTTCCTACATGGAACACAAACCCCCCCGACTACGGAGTACATATATCCTGAGATCCTCCCCGATCATCCTACTATATCATCCCTGATCTTCCTCTTCCCTATCTCATCTGTGTATATCATCTACCTTCTCTCTTCTCATAAGGCCTCTCAAGTGTCTTCTCTCTCCGTCCCTCTTTTCTTTTTTTGATCTACACGGTTCAACCAGTCATTGAACCTTAAGAGTCCTGAGGCCTCACCTCTCTCTCTCATCTTCATACTTGAATATCCTTCTCTCCTTCGCAACTCCAAAACTTACATCTTCAACAAGAAGTAACCGAATATGAAGAACTCAATCCCATCTGACGTGTGGGAGAGGAAGAAGGCTTTGATTGCCAAGTTATACAAGGATGAAGAATGGCCTTTGAAGCAGGTCATCAAGCAAATTCGTTCCGATGATTTCAACCCAAGGTGAGAAGAAGTTCTCGGAAATATCTCAAATGGGTTTTCACTGGTGTGCTAACTCTGCCTCCAAGTGAGACTCAGCTGCGGAGTAGATTGAAGAAGTGGAGGGTCACCAAGCCCTCTCGCCAGACACGCAAGAAATCCGACGACAGCCAACAGGAGACTACCGGAGATGACAGTGGTCAAGAAGATGCATCCCCAAAGGCCCAGTCTTCCACAGCCTCCCCCAAAGCACGCCCCCCTCTTCGCTCAGTCGCATCAGACATCTCTGTCACCGAACCGGAATGGTACATGGCCAATAGTGCATACACGCACCATGAGGACCTGCCTACTACAGTTTGCCTTGATGGACAAAACATCTCCAATGTGTGGGCCCCCATGATGAGCCCTTCCCAGAAGCAGCGGGATCCTTCCCACGCCTCTTCCGTGATGGTCCTTCCTAGCTCCAACTCATATGACTCACCGCACACGTCGCCATTGATGGACAGCATGTTGGCCAACCAAACATCAAGCATGGCGTCGCCTTTCCATGATCCTTCCTTTGCTGTCACCACGGACTGCATGCAAACACCCGCGACAACAGCTGGACCAATCCAGTGGTCAATTCCTCAGTGGTACTCGATGCCTCTTGAGGCTGGCAGTCCATTCTACACTGCGGCACCACTGAGCCCTCCTATCGATCCCGCCATGCACCTGATGACACCACACGCCCAGACACCGCCGCCTTCTAGTATCGGGCGGCAACATATGGCCGACCTAAACGAGGGGCCTCAGTCATGGAAGCGTGCTATGTCTGCTCCATATGTTCAGGATACCGCTGGCGGGCATCCGAGATTGGATCAGAAGGGCTCGCAAACACGGCCACTTGACCGGAAGGCTTCTATCCAACCGAAGTCGGCTGGTCAACCCGCCATGGGGATCGTGTCTCCGTCCGCTTTCTATCCCCATGGTCAACATCCTGCTATGTGTGCGCCCCTCTACCCGTATCCTGGACCGGAGTCACTTGTGCACAGGCCTCAGAGCATCGACTTTTAAGCATTACCAGGAGCACGTCGCTTTATTTGTGTGAAACTAATATTTTCTCATACTGGACCCTTGGTTTGCATGCATTGGTCTAGTCACCTTGACACATTTTTGAGGTTGATCTATTCTTCTCACTTGTAACTTTTTGCCTCTCGTCTTTGCTGTTCACTTGAACCCTCTTCTTCTCTTTGCTTGGACGCTGGAAAGGAGCGGGGACATTTGAACATTACATTGTGTACACCAAGGGAAGCGGCACTTGGATCATGGGATACCTGGCGTATTGTGGTTGTGCCGAATCATGGAGTGGAGTGTGCTGGTTTTGATGATATCCACGTTTGGGATCAAGGAGTTTGGAATTTTCTGTATAGTTTTCCTTTGTCAAGTCTATGTGTGCATGGGGTTAATGATGCTTGTACGGGCTATATCATATATATTGATGGCCAGATCGACTGGACGATCGGCCAATGAAGGACTGGTTCCCTCATACATGCCAAATATTTTATTATACAAGGGCGCACACACCGGCCTCCCACATTAGTTATATAAAGTCAACTTAACAATATAATCCATTTATCTATCAACCGACGTTTTCTGGGCTCATGCTGTAGAGGAAGGCAAAAGTAACTTGCCTAGGTACCGAATGGGGGAGTCTCCTCTATCAGTTATCCGACGACGGACCTCGGCTCAACCCCCGGTGTGGGGAAAGCTTCCCCCCTCCTTTGGGTCCCCTCGGACCAAATGGATGTGTCCTGACCCCAAATCAAGACCGCAACTCCAACACAATCAATAGCCCCATTCCAAGACAGTCCACTCTCACCCACCCACTCACTCACCGTCTTTCTTTGCACTATTCCTATATTGCAGTTGTCCAGCTTCACCGAAGAAAACAGCACGGCTACCATTCAGTCGTCAACATGCGAGCCATTCAAGTAAAAGAATATGTCAAGGTCGGTAACAACGAAGTGACCTACCTATACTAGATTTGCCACCGCTTTACCACGGACAAATTGACTGACTCCCACAATACACAGGGGCCTCAGGATCTCCAAGTCGCAACCCTTCCCACGCCTTCCCCATCCGCAACGGAGTACCTGATTGAGATCCACTCCGCAGGTACAAATTTCTTCGACCTGCTTCAAATCCAGGGCAAGTACCAACACCAGCCTCCACTACCCTGGATTGGGGGCGTAGAGTTCGCAGGTACCATCCTAGCCGTGCCCACCAAAGCGCAGTCCCCGCGATTCAAAGTCGGGGACCGAGTCTTTGGCGCCACACAAGGCGCCTACGCTACCCATATCCTTGCCCCGGAGCACACTCTCCTCCCTGTGCCGGCAGGCTGGAGCTTCGAGGATGCAGCAGGCCTCTTTGTCACGGCTCCTACCTCATACGGTGGTCTTGTGCACCGCGCAAACGTCCAGCCGGGCGACTGGGTCCTCGTGCATGCGGCGGCCGGTGGCGTCGGGTTAGCCGCGGTGCAGATTGCCAAAGCTAAGGGGGCGACGGTGATTGCAACGGCCGGGACGGAGCGGAAGCGACAGATTGCGCGCCAATTCGGGGCGGATCATGTCATTGATTATCGGGAGAAGAGCTGGCCGGAGGAGGTGAAGCGGTTGTGTGCGCAACATCGCTCGGGGAATGGGAAGGCCGGGGTGGACATCGTATATGATCCGGTCGGGATGATCGAGGCGAGCCTGAAGTGTGTGGCGTGGAATGCACGCCTTTTGGTTATTGGCTTTGCAGCGGGAAAGATCGAGAAGGTCGCGCTGAATCGTGTGTTGCTGAAAAATGTCAGTTTGGTTGGATTGCATTGGGGCCAGTATGCACGGTTTGAGAAGGAGACGGTACAGACGGTTTGGAAGGGGATCTTCGATCTTGTGGCGCAGGGCAAGTTCAAGGGTACGGCCTTTAAGGACGAGAGCTTTGTAGGATTGGAGGGCGTGCCTCGCGCGCTGCAGGCGCTGGGTGGCCGGGAGACATGGGGGAAGGTGGTGGTGAAGATCATCGACGATGATGCTATTGCTGGAAAGAGTAAACTATAGAGTAGATACTGAAGCCTCTGGACTAGGCACTAGGTAATACGGATTACATGAGGGATTGGAAGTGCATCTCATTCAGCAGTAATCAATTCGCATTAGAGGATAACAAGCGGAACGAAATCTATCTAAATCAAAAGATACTATTACGCTAAGTATGTAGGTGCGCAAGGAGTCATGCTCTCGTAGCAAGGTTTAAACGCGAGCAACATGAACTATGAAGGCCCTAAGAAATTTCTCTAGCAACCTGACAAAAGAAATCAAAACCGGAACCCCGAAGGGTCCCGACAATCCAGCTCCAGTCGGCCACAGTCACAAGACGTGACATGCGATGACTGTTCTCCGAAATGGAGAGTCCTTGACGGAAGCTCAAGCACTCTGTTTGTCCAGCCCGAAGGCTGTGAACAGAGCTAACAACCTGGGACAGCTGGATTGCAAAGTTGCGATAGGGTGCCAATTCTCTTTCGATATGTGTGTTGGTGGTATTCCGTACATGCAGCACGATGGATCTTCATTAGATGAAGCAGAAAAGATGACCTAGCACATTATAAGTCTCAATTACTGCTGTCCAGCGTATTTGGCACTGCAAGCTGCCGTTGTTGTGGCTCTGACGGTGGGTGAATCGATTACCGGCTGAGCAGATGAAAAACAGAAGAAGCCGGCGCGCACGTGCTTGCTTTTTGTAGGCTCGCTTACTTAGCGATGAGTCATCCTTGCTTTGCTTTTCTTATCGACATGTGACTTGATATGACCGATAAGCATGATAAGGAGCCCATCCATTAACAGACAGCATCGCAACATATGCACCTTTCGCATCAATTCTTGGCTTAGCTTGTTCTTGGGCCCCTGATGTGGCTTGCCCAAAAATGGACACTGATTGGATATTGGAAAGGCACGATACCATTATACCGTGGATGCGACAAGGCCTCGTGAACAAGGATGGTGGTGCCATCGTCCGAGATGCCCGTGGAACAATCGATTGCGCTCGTTTCCATCGACAATGAACTGGCTTTTCACTTCAGAAGAGTGAGTGTAAGCATACAGATAGAGGGTTTACTACTGGGGGCCCATATTGCATCAATGCCCCTGAGTATAAGGCAGATGGGTCCTTTGACGTTGCCAGCACCAGCTCACGGCAATCGCCGCTACGTCATAGCCGTATCAGCGTCATCTTAATCCAATTGCTCCACCAGAGTTTCCTCTCAGGCCCTGTCTACGCTGGTCTTCACTCGGCTTACCGGTTTACCGGCTGTCCGATAAACAGGCTTACATTGGGGGAACTTTCAGGGTATAAGAATCCGCTCTATCGCCAGGGATCACCCGGCGCCCCCTTAAGAAACAGCCAAACACAGCTAGTCTTGACCCCTCTCTCATTCGATGGCTCGTTTTCTCCTGAGACTTAAACCCAACCCACCATTTTCCACTTTTTCGCTGCAGCGCCATACATCTCTCACGTCGGTTGCGAGAATGTCTACATCGTCGAAATCTTCCAAGTTCAGTCAACTTCCTCGGGCCTCGTCCGGACCTTTGGTGTGCCCGTTTGAGGTACGGTCTCCTGAGAGAGTTATGGGTAGTTTGATTGTTGACGCAGATGTAGGGAAGAGATGCGCTGCAGTCATGCCAGTTCAACAAAGGCTCGGCGTTCACGGAGGAGGAGCGCAGAACATTCAAACTTCATGGTCTGCTTCCTCCCAATATCCAGACCCTCGAGGAGCAGGTTCAGCGGGCGTACGAGCAATATAGCAGTCGAGATAATGATCTGGCCAAGAACACGTTCATGGCTAGTATGAAGGCTCAGAACGAGGTTCTCTACTACAAGGTAACACACATATTGACCTCCCGCGTGTGTTTAGGAAAATCGAAGACGACCAGCGAACTAACGTATATTGAAGTTAATTGATACCCATCTCAAGGAGATGCTTAGCATAATTTACACTCCCACCGAAGGCGATGCAATCCAGAACTATTCTCGACTGTTCCGGAAGCCAGAGGGCTGTTTCCTGAACATCAGGGACCAGGACAAGATTGACGAATGCCTTTCCAACTTCAGTCGCGGCGAGGAAGTCGACTATATAGTCGTCAGCGATGGCGAGGAGGTAAGTTGGACATCAGCATGCACTCCATGTACGACATGTCTCATTGGTCACAGATTTTAGGAATTGGTGACCAAGGCGTTGGCGCCATCTTGATCTCGGTTGCCAAATTGGCCCTTACCACGTTGTGTGCTGGGATACATCCAAGTCGGCAATTGCCGGTGGTCCTAGACTGTGGTACAGATGTATGGCAGCAACAAGTATCGATCAGGCAGGTGCTAATTACTGAATACAGAATGAATCACTTCTTAAGGACGAGCTATACCTGGGCCTGCGACAGTCGCGCGTTAGAGGTGAGGAATATGACCAGTTCGTGGAGAAGTTTGTGGAAACAGCTCGAAAGAGGTTCCCCCGTGCATACATACATTTGTGAGTTGTCAATGTTCCATAGGAACTCCCGCAGCCATCCATCTTGAGCTTTACTGACGTCATTTAGCGAGGACTTTGGCCTTCATAACGCCAAGAGGATCTTGGATAAATTCAAATCGCGTATTCCATGTTTCAATGACGATATTCAGGGAACTGGGTGTGTCACTTTGGCTGCCCTGTTATCCGGATTTCACGTGGGTGATATCAAGTTAGAGGATGCTCGTGTCGTCGTCTTCGGATCTGGATCAGCGGGCACTGGCATCGCGGAGCAGCTCGCCGATACCATCGCGACTGAAACACACAAATCTAAAGAAGAAGCCTCAAAGCAGATATGGTATGGAAATGCATCGGCTTGTGGAGTTCCTTCGACCCTACATTTACTGATTATCTAAACCTAGGTGTCTCGATAAACCGGGTCTTCTGGTCAAATCTCTTGGAGACCAGCTCACGCCAGCCCAAGTACCCTTTGCGCGAGACGACAAAGAGTGGCCTGATGCAAATTCGCGCGATCTGCTTTCGGTAGTGAAGAAGGTGAAGCCGCATGCCTTGATTGGGACATCAACTAAACCAAACTCTTTCACCGAGGACGTGATCCGGGAAATGGCGAAGCACGTCGACAAGCCAATTGTATTTCCCCTCAGTAACCCGACTCGGCTGCACGAGGCACAGCCTGAGGACATCAATCGTTGGACTGATGGCCGAGCTTTGATAGCCACCGGCAGTCCTTTCCCACCCGTCGATCGCAACGGGGGAAAGTATGAGATAGGTATGTGCATTTCCCACTGCATAGCCAAGATAGGATCTTCCCAGCTGATGCCTTGCTCCCATGATGTTGCAGCGGAATGTAACAACTCGACATGCTTTCCCGGAATCGGATTGGGCGCAGTTCTGTCGCGAACACGAACGTTGTCCAACAAGATGCTTGTGGGCGCAGTCAAGGCATTGGCAGCGCGGTCGCCGGCACTGCAGGATCCCGACGGACCACTTCTACCTGACGTCAAGGATGTACGCGAGCTTAGCGTCGACATTGCCAAAGCAATTATTAAGACGGCGGTCGAAGAAGGGCATGCTCAAGAGGAGGGAATTCCCGCGAATGAAGATGAGTTAGAAGAGTGGATTCGGGCACAGATGTGGGAACCCGTGTACAGGCCCCTTGTGAAGCCACAACAACAACAACAACAATGAGGAAAGGTAATATCCGAGAAGGGGGCTGTGCACTCCAAGCCGGGCCAGGCTCGGTTGTTCGGCACCAGGCGGAGTTGATGATGAGGCTCTGTCGGAAGTCATCAGATAACTCGTTAGTGGATGCATACCAAATCTTGTTGGAAGACATATGTATGACAGGATGACCTCTTAGACTCCAGATAATGACGATTGAATGAATTCAGCCATACGCCACTAGGTGGCGAGGACGAGGCCAAGGAACTAAGCTGCTCGTGTTCAATAAGGCTGTACTACGAAGGCAGATGAGAGGAAAGTAAATGCAAGAACTGCTGAGTAAGGAAGGGCTATTAAGTAACTAGTTTTCCATCGTAGTAACTAACTAGTCCCTGAATTGGACTGTTGAATGGGTTTGGGTAGCATTGCCACTCTGAGGCGCAGAGATAGTGGACCCAGGGATCTTACTTTGTATTACCTTCCACTCAGCCACATGTTACCAGGCATCTGAAGATATGCAGGGTCCATTTGATGCCATCCCTCTATTCTCAATACAGCAGATTTCCGAACTCCCACCCTTGTCTTGTGGAGAGATCAACCCAACGGGGCTGCCTGCATAGCGGAAGCTTAATCTGTGGTGGGGAGTTGGTGCTCGGCAAGTCTCCTTTCATCAGCAAAAACTCTCAGTCTCAATGCTACTGCGCCTTTATCCTTCTCAAACTCTTAACTCCGAAAAAATCTCTTTATCATATATTAATCCTCTCTTTTCCTCCTTGTTCTGCTCTGACGCCTGGATTATTTATTCACCTTCTGCAGCACCAAGCAGACAGACGTTACGATAGTCACTGGACTTCGGTTATCGATCTTCTGCAGTGTACCGACTTGCAGCTTGTGTTACTTTGACGAGCACCTTGCATAGTTGTGTTGGCGTGCAACAAAGATTTCTTTCTTACTTCACTTAACCCCGCACTATCCAATCTCATCTGTTATGAAGATAATATCAGTTGTCACTGCGCTGGCCCTCTTTCTCATCACCCTTGTCACCGCACTCAGCATTCCGCCTGCAGCTCGAGATGCTACTCTCTCCGCGGATTCTTCATCATTGTTGGATCTAGTTAAGCGGCGTGGGGGCGGTGGCGGGGGAGGGCGCAGTGGAGGAGGAAGTGGTGGTCGAAGTGGTAGTGGAGGGAGCAGCAGTAGTAGTAGTAGCAGCAGCAGTGGACGCACAGGGAACAGCGGAAGTAGTGGAAGTAGCTCGAGAACCAGGTAAGTAAACATCGTTCGATTGGAAAGAGAAGACATTGAGGCTAACAAGCTCCACCAGCTCTTCAAGCAATGTCGGGGGCACATCTCGCAGTGGTTCTGGAACCCGTCCGGCGTATGGAGGTGGCTCCTACTACGCAGGCGGTGCCACTGCCCCTTATACAGCAGGGGCACGATCACGTTTGGGAGTGACGCCTTTTCTCTTGCCAGCGGCCATTGTCCCTCTCTACTTCCCGGGCCTTTGGTTATATGGGGCATACGTCTACCCTTACAGCTATCACTACCACTATATGAACGATACCTCGCACAAAAACGAGTCATTACCCGTGAACTGCATTTGCCAACAGTACTTGGAATGTGGATGCGATGAAAATAGTAATAGCACTTACTATGAGTCCTTATTCAATGGAACTCAACCTAGGAATTCGAGCGTGGCCAAGGTGGTTGATGTGAACGGCACGGAATCAATCTATATCAACGGCACCCTGGCCAACGGGACGACTGCCGCCGATTCGGCTGCAACTCACTTTGGTGTTTATGGATCTGGATATTGGATGATGGTGGCCGTGGTGGTGGGCATTGTATGGACGTAGTTTGTCCTCCACTTACTAGAGACGAGTAAGGTGCCCCCAACCGACCACATCATTTTAACCTTTATTATGTTATTCCTTCATTGGACTGCGCTCGATTCATCACTATAATAGTTTAAGACGATCCGACAGCAGAAGATACCCCACGTGCTTGGCGTTGAAGTTAGAAGAACGGCTTTTAATATCATTTTGTCTCATTCCATTCCATTCCATTGCATTTTGATTTTCTTGGTGTTCGGCTTTGCAGAGCCCAGGTCGGACTCCACTTGCAACAGATTAATTAAATGGTATTTCCCTTGAACCCCCACCCTCGATCCTGCACTCATCATCCCCAATCATAGCTTCATCCATGTCAGTCTCGATCTTTTTTTTTGCCACGAAAGCAACCTGATGATCTTGCCTTTCCCACGGGTCAAGGGATGAGCTTAAAGGTTAATTACGCAGAACCGTTGCAGCCTCTCCACCGGGATCGTCAACTCAGCCATGCATATACATCGCCATCCTGATTGAGCTGGCCACGTTTCAAGGGCCTCCCGCAACAAGGGTCTAGATGCTCGTCTTCAAGGCCCAGATATGCAATCTTTTTCACGCCTCATTCGGGTTTCATCCGCCACCCAATGATCTGGACGTGTCTCCCTGCTGACCGGATCCACTGGCGATGGACCCTCCCTCCAAAGTACGTAGCAAAAGTGGGCACGGCAGGCTGCCCCATTAGACATCTGTCAGATCTGACTCCTCCTTTCTTCCCCTTGGCAGCTCCATTGTCTCTCAATTCAACCCGTCTGTCTTTCTCTTTCCCCCCCTCCCCTATTCTTCTTTTTCGCACCTTCTTCTTGAGCATTTCTAACTGGAGTTCACCAGCTGCGCTGTCGCTCCTTCTTCATACATACACAAATCACCAGAGCTGCCACTCTTTCCAGCTCCATTCGCTCTTTAGACTTTTTCAAAAGCATCAATTACTATTTGTCGTCTCTACCAAGGTTCCATAGAGCGCCAGTGCTTTCCAACGCTATATAAATATCAACATCAATACTTCCAGCCTGGTTTCCAAGTGCATACTACACGTCCGCGTGGCATATCGATCCCAGTCAGCGTTCTGATTCGCAAACCATATACATACGCAGCCAATAAGATGTATCTCTCCAAGGTCCTTCTCGTTACCTGTGCGGCCTTCGCCCCGTTCGCCTCTGCTGCGGTGCAGGCTGTACCTACAGAAACACCTGTGCCCGTCTCAAGCACGCATGCCGCATCCACGCCGCTGATACCAACTCCGACCTCCATCTCGTCCAGCCCCCTTCAAACAACCAGCAGCAGTATTGTCATCAGCAGCAGCAGTAGTAGCGCCAGATACCATCCCAGCTCTTCTGCTTCGCCAAGCCATATGGGAAGTTCTAGCCGTCGTGTCTCTAGCTCCGCCATTTCCAGCTCCGCCATTGCCAGCTCCGCCATTTCCAGCTCCGCCATTTCCAGCTCCTCAGCTTCTTTCACCAGGTCATACATCACCAAGGCATCAGCTCGCCCGACCACCACGACATCGACCGACGCGGACTCAAAATCGAAGTCAAACTCTGGTTCGGACTCCGAATCCGCTACTGCGGCTGCAGCATCTGCAGCATCTGCTACTCACTCGGGCGCCGCCGCTCCGGTCGTCCAGCTTTCTGGAGGTATGGCTGCTGGGGTCCTCGCTGCTGCAGGATTTATCATGCTCTAAGGTACTCTGAGTGGACTGCTATCTTATGGTCATGCCTCCCAGGCAATACCAAGGGTGGCGTGGATAGCTGTCTGCACTAAGTTCGAGAAGTGGAGGGTGATGTGGCAATGAGAAAGGAACTCTTAACGACAATCCGCTGAGAAGAAGCATCCCATATATGTACTATCGACAACTATGATTTTGAGCTCTCCTTTCGGACAGTGGTTCCCTCTCGTGTGTTCTCTTTTTATCGTGTTTTTGATCCATCAAGCCTTGCATATGTCCATTCAACGGGTCGGCAGCATTTGCTCATCTGTCTGATTTGTGACATTAGTACCTTGCACATTCTTTATTTCCAAATTCATGCAAATGCTTATAATTGACTATTTCCCCCCCCTCTCTTATCTTTTCCTTCTTCCTTTTACTGGAATGCACATAAGTATCCCGGTAATGTTGCTTCTTCCAGCTCTCTGTGAGGCTTCAAGCTGCAATGACGTAGCGAAGTAGGAACTCAACAATCCGCGGGCAACGTTGAGTCTTGCCTCAGTCCAGCGATGTTTGCTTAATCCATCTTTGAGGCTGGGCTTATCTAATCTCTTCCCAGACTGCACCACCCTGCACTTCGTCTATGCTCTGTCTTACGCTGTATAACCTTTTATGGTACTATCCCCGCTGCTCCGTTACACATCTGAAGAAGGATCGGAAACGCCCATATAGCAAACGTGAAGAGTAAAAGTGAAGAGGGAGACACTGCTGGGCACTGTCATAGACCTCCCTTCCTTTGACTCGACCAAGGCCAGCATGCTTTACATAATAGCTAGGAATGTATACAGCGGAATAAAGAGGAAGTGAGGCTGACGGGTTACAATCGCATCATTGCGACCAATATCTGATTCATATGAACGAAGACAAGACACGAAATGCAGCTGGGATAATATACAGGGGAGAAGTAATGAGAGATGCAGGATAGAGGACAGAGAGAGACAGAGGAAAAGAGGGGACAGTAATAAAATGTCGAGTTACATCAAGAACAGGCATACCCTCCAGACTTAAAACTATTGATCCTTGAAAGTCGCCTCGTACCTCTTTCCTCTGAAAGCCCAAAGACCCCAGTTACCGCAGGACACGTCATGGGGATCCAAATCGTTGAGATCCCAACGCAAACTGCGGAAAACGTTCTCACCGGGTTCGAGCAGAATGTCGAATTCACCGGCACACTTCTCGTTGACCCAGTTGATGTCACGTTCCATATCCCACTGCGTGTAGCCCGTGCTGATGATGGGGACCTTGGTCTCGAGTAGCTGCGGGAGCGTTTCCTCCCATTCGTGCGAGCTGGCCGGGTGTCCCAGACCCGGGTGGAAGAGCATGAAGCAGTCCAGATAAGGATCGAAGGGCTGGAAGTACTGCGCTTTGTACATTGTGTGGAAGTAGTCAACGTACGTGGTAATCTTGAACTGTCCTCCAAGTCTGTCCTCCACAATACCACCGAAGGGATTCTCGGAGGTGCGCTCGGGTAGTGGGAATTCATCATCCCGGTTGGCCATACTCTCCGGTCCAATGAAGATCAAATGGATCAGGGAGCGCGGGAAAATGTAGCTAAGTTGAAGCCAAACTTCGCGCGGCAACGAGGACTCGGCGCGAGCTCCCAAAATGAATATGCGCACGGGAGGAGCCTTGAGTCGTAGTCCTTGGATGTCGACGCCCTCGCCGGTCTTGGGAGGGTGAAGGGTGTACCGGAGCGCTAAATAAAGCCAATAGGTTAGTTGGCGAACCTACAAGACTAGAGAGAGAGAAGGAGGGAGGGGGGGGGGTTGCAACTTACCGCTAACACTCTTGAGACCCTCCACGGTAAGCCTGCCATCTTTCCGGACATTGTAAGGACTCAGCTCATGCAAAACACTTCCAATTGTGAGAGGGTAGGTGAGCATTCTCGTTACTTGTCGCATGCTTCGATCATCGTTGATCGCTTCGAATTCTCGTGTGTACAGGAAAGTGTCCCAATTCGTCATGTTAATGACGAAGTTATCGTCCTGCAGTCCGGGGTACGAGAACTCCGGGAAAAACCGTCCGGAGTGTAGATCATGATCGTCTTCATTGATCTGTCGAATTGTCTCACAAATCTCCAGATGGGCCTCGAAATCATCCATCCAGTGGCCCTCGGAGCAGTAAATCGGAACACCACAGTCGGGACATTCGAAATGAGAGTGCGCGGGAGGCAGACTCTCCGAGGTCACCTGGCTCTTGCGCGATTCGGGATCGTGGGGGGACAGGGGCAAACGAGTCTGCTGATGGCTCGGATGGGGGCAGAAGGCGTTCTGCTTGATAAAAGCCGCACGCTGTCGGATTGCAGCTGCTGGAGACTGGGAGAAGGAGTGAAACAGGTTGTTCGGCTTCAGAAGGGCCCGGGCCTCTGGCGAGGCGGCAGATGTGGCAGATGTGGCCTTCTGCACAATCGACTTGACATTTTGCGATGCAATTGAGGAGGCCGACAAATTGGACGATAGACTATTCTGTCGGACTGGGGCTTGTAGAGGCCTGGACTTAAAGGAAGCACTGCTCCGAGAGCTCAAGCTCCGCACGCACGAAGCGGGAAAGCCGTATCCCCCTCGCCTTGGACTGGCGACTTGATGCCAGCGAGCCACAGAGTTCTGGGCAACAGCCCTTCGCCGCAGCACCTGCAGACAGCGTCCACAAGTATATTCGCCGGTCATTGTGGGTGCAACGCGACGCTTGAACAGGACTCTTGCAGTAAAAAGTGGCTTGATTCTCCCACGCGGCGGCGGTCCTTTTCGCCCGCGTGCACGTGATTGCACCCGGCCGGTCCCCAGAATTAATACCTTGGTTCCGAGGGAGTAAAACTAAAAGATGAATAAGAGCAAAAGGCACGGATTCATTGGGTTCTAATTACATAGGTAGAGACAGTCCGTTTGCGAACCCCCAAGTCAAACAGTACCAAGTTAGAAGATGTCCTCGCAGGCGCTCCAGTCGCCGCTCTCGCGACTCGTCCAGTATTGTCCGTTGTGTGCCCAATACTCTTCACCGGTGACCGGGCACTTGGCCCTACTGAACCATTTGGGCTTATACTCCTCGCCTTTCGTCTCTCTCTCTCTCCGCTTGGCGCGCTGCTTCTCCTCCACTCGATGTTTCTCCGTGGCGGCTAAATCATACTCACCCTCCTCCATCGCACGCTGATCGGGTCGAAGTCGTGTGTCGGTAGGTGGGAGACACTCCTTGAGCCCTTCAGGCAAAGCGTTTAGAGTGATGACGAATGGTGTGAGGTTGAATGGAATCCCGCTCGGCCGATCATGGCTTTGCCAGACCAGGAACGTCTTGGCCGATTCAGGATCCTGGCCGGAAACTGTCGCCTCGAACCCTGGGGTATGGCGCGCGTAGATCTTATCGTTCCATCGGCCACCGATACTCCACTTGGGCGACCCATCCCGATCCACGACCTTGCCCGTCACCTGATATGCGGATGAAGCCTTCCAGCCCCTTGGCTTAAAATCCAAATAGCAAACTTCGCCTGTGGTCCAATTCTTGATTTCCATCAGGCCATAGTTGTCCACTGTGGGGCTACCGGTGATGATGCCAATAACGGAAGATGTGACCTTCTTCCAAGTATACAGCTCCTCTCCTCCAGATGCTGGCCGTAGCTTTAAGAACCATGTCCCTAAAAGGTTAATGTCGAACGACTTTCCGTAAAACTTGGACTTCAGAGCAGACTCGCCCTATGAGAAAAGATGTCAGCGTCAATAATATGTCCAGAGGGACACACGCATCTAAAACTCACATAGTAGTCCCACTTTGGCGACTCGGCCCAAGCAGCACCAATCGGGGGATGATGGCTGACTTGTTCGACAAAGAACCGATACCCTTTGTCCGGCCGGACATATTCGAATGTCTCCCCAAGAAGAGGATTGAACGGTTTAGCAACACGGCCAATCGTAGAAGCATATTCACTTGCAGCATATGCAGCGACATACACCAGACGCTCCATAGAATCGGGTCGGTCCGCTGCAACATCAAGTAGATCTGCGTATTCCAAGTCCTCGGCCACGCGTTGAAGCAGGGATGTAGGCTCATTGAAGGATACCGGGAGAGTCATCTTCGTCATATCCTTCCCAATCATTGACTTCAAAATCCCCTAGAAGCAAACACATGTCAGCAGCTACATACGATTTCAATGGCCAAGAGGGGTGATAACATACCCAGAGCGAAATCTTCGGTCTATTGTCGTAATCCATCTTCAGTCTCTGCCGGATGGGTTCTTCATATCCCTTGAACGAAGGCACAATTTCAGATCTCTTCACGGTTCGGAGCTCATTGGTCTCCTCCAGAGGCTTCGGTTCGCCGTCCTCCGAGCCAGCAAGTTTCTCCACCTCAATTTCTCCGGAATCAATGGCATCGAAGAACTCGTCTTCATCCCCAGACTCCGAGTCATAGAGAGTGCTGATATTGGACATAGCCGACTTCCTACGACGAAGAGTACCTCTAAGTTCTCGATCTTCGAATTCTGGCGAGACTTCTGCTGGCTCCGGCTCTTGAGTCTCGTTTTCGACATCGGCAACGTCTCCACTGGCAACCTGCGCGCGCGACGGAGCTTTACTGACTGCACGGCTCGTGGCTGTTGACTCCAACGCTTCCTTCAACGCCCGCTTGGTTCGCTTACGTTTTTCCTCGGACTCGCCCATTCGTGACTGGAGCTCCTCATGTTCCTGAGCGATCCTTGCCATGCTTTCCTCCCACATCTTGCGCAAGTATGCCTCCCTATTCAAGCGATACTGCCAATACGCATCACGGTCCCGGGATATCTTCAAAAGGCTCTGCACTAAGCCTTGTAAACTACTCACAGCTGCTTCATAAGCAACTAAAGCCTGATCAACTGCTGGATCGGAGAGTGATGTGGCAGGATTCTTTGACTTTTCCGCTTGCAGCGAAGACGCGACATTGGCAAGGATGTCAAGCTGGAGTTTCGTTGACTGGGCAGTGATGTTCAAAGCATCTTTGTCCGTGGGCTGCATATCATGACTGGACGCATAGTCACCTTCCTCTTCGTCATCGCCGTCAATATCTGGCGCCGAGGTCACATGGCTCAGAACCCGATTGACTTCATTTGGTGCAGCGGCGTGCTCCATTGACCCGTACAAGGAGCTTTCTTCGTCTTCGGGCGCGCTCCCTGCGGTTGTGTGGGACGCGTACGTACTGAGCCGTGTGCCACTGCTACTTGGTATATTGATGGAAGGGGGTGCAAGGCTCTTCACGTTGGATCTTGGAATAGCTGAACTTGGAGAGTCGGATATGGTCTCGGACAATCGGCCTTCCACTTGCTCAATCTTGGCCTGGCGAAGTACTTCAGCATGTTTCGATTGACGCTTCTCTTCCTCCTTCGCCTCATCCTTGGCCCATTGTATGGCATTGTTTAGAGTCCAGAACCAACGCTTGGCCTCGACAACGTGATTCGCTTTGAGATGATATTTGACGGATGACTTTCCATGGATCTCGAAGCGGGTCTTGTCCTGCGCATCCATATTGAGCCTAGCAATTTTCATATTGATCGCTCCTCGGCAGGCGGAGCCCGCATCATCTGCAAGAAGAAACCAGTCAGCTATGGCCAAGAAACACCTATACAGACCGGCAAGCATCATACCTTGGTGTTTATAATAGCTCAGCACACCATCTTCTAGAACGAACCAACGCAATTTATAGCCGCTTGTATAATTAGTCCATTTCTTTAGATAACCCCTCATTTCACGGGCTTCCTTGCCAGCAAAAGGCGCCTCGCTACCGCCTGAGCGGCCAGGCACACCTTGAGCTGCGCTGGTGCCGAGAATCGCTTTTTCCTGTATGCCACGTTGTGCGATGACTGCTGCTGGAGATTTCTTGACGATCGCACGGGTCTTGTCATCTTTAGTAACATCCTGAGGCAATTTCCCCTTCTTGTCACGACGGAAGGGATCCGCCCCATGCATCAATAGGATCTGAATCAGTTGTGTGTCCTTTTTCCTTGCCCCCTCATGCAACAACGTGCCCCCAGACTGGGCAGTAGCAGGATCCGTTACCAAATCTAAACTGTTGACATCGATGCTGCCCTCTACACGGGGCTCTTCGAGCGCCTTCTCCAGTTTTTCGTATTCCCCTTGAGAGACGAGCGCTTGGATCTCTTGGGTCTTGATGTCAATGAACAGTGAGCGAGCTAGCTGAAGTTGCTGGAAGATTTCTGGAGTGCGCGCAATATCAAGAGCTGTTTGGCCGTTGTAATTTATTATCGAATCGTTAATAGAGGGTTGGTTTAGCAGTTCGCGAATCACTGGACCTCGTCCAAGCTGAGCGGCCAAATGAAGAGGCGTATTGCCCTCCCGATCACGCGCGTTTATGTCAAGGTCCTGGCTGGAGGACAGCACGAATTCGACAACTTGCGGCTCAGCGCATTGAATCGCAAGGTGGAGAATAGTTGTCCCAGATAGGGCATTTGCTCCCTGCGGCTCCTTAGTCTCTCTGATGGCTTTCGAAATCGCATTCGTGTCGCCGCTCCGTAAGATCTCGAATAGACGAAAAGTCCGGACTGACTGATCTAACGACATGCTACTGGTCTCGGCATGTGATATGGAGGGTAGCTTCTCAATGTTATCCCCGCTTCTGTGCGGGCCCGCGGGCTCTTGTGGCGGTTCAGCAGACATGGGACGTAGGTTTGGCTCTTGAGGGCGTGTACTTCGGCGGCTGGAGCTTCGGGTAGCTGGAACTCCAGATATGGATGGAGTACTATTGGCAAGGGAAGACGTGGCGGATTCGGAGGAGCCACTATCGCGAACGACGGGCTCTTCACGGTTATCCTTCGACCTATCGCGGTGTAAAAGCGCCAGTGCCAGGGAACTTCGAGACCGTTTGTGTCTGCGAAACAGTATGTTATGTTAGCGAGCGAAGAGCCCAAATCGCGGGGCAACCCCAGGTTTCAGGTTGGGCAAGAGAGATCCTTATGTTCTGGTCGGTGGTTGAATTCAAGAACAACCTAGCGATTGCTTATGGTTCATCCCAGGACCCACGCACAAGTGAGATAGCTGAAGGAAAGATGGGTATGGCTTGCGGTGATTCAACCACGAGGTCCCGGGGAACCGAAGCGGCAGAGAGAGTTTACTCACCCTTCGCCCCTTTCTGTCATCTCTTGCTGGCCTCCAACACTGGTCTAAACCCGGAACTGGCAGAGGTAGACCGGATGATTATCTGCAGGGTACCAGGAAAGCTAATATAGAAGCAAGTGAAGACTTCTGGACTGGTTGGCGTACAATTTTCGTGACTAGTCGCAAGAAATGATGGAGGAGATGGTGATGACGATGTTCTTCCCGCGCGTTGGCCAAGACGGATGGGTTTCACTACCTCCGGAGAACTACGCGCGATGGTCTCAGCAGGCGAAAAGGGGCTCTCTCTCTCTCTCTCTCTCTCTCTATAGTTACACTATTCTCCTATAAAACAGAGACAGAAATCTCTGTGGACATATATTGTACAGAAGGTGTGGTCCCGACGGCTTGGTTCCAATGAAATGCCTTAGAACAGTCACCTCGTCTCTCCACTAACCAATACAATGACGCTGCCGAGCTGGCGCTTCAAATCTTCCTTGTCGACATCATGGGTATCCTCAACCTCTCCCCACATATCGGTCTGCCACCTGACTTCTAGGCTGGATGCCTCCGCTGCTTCCTCAATGCCGAACCTCTCGCGGCCCGGTCGTTGCACCTCTCGGAACGTCTCACTCCATTCAGCGACCAGACGGACTGCAATCAACAAGCTCTTTGCGGCCAGGATTCCTCTCTCCAGTCCGGCCAGATCGTAGGCCTGCAGACCAGATATCCACTGCAGAATAATGTCTTTTGTAGCCTGAGGTTGAGAGACTGGTAATATGCTATCGGTGTCGAGGATAGGCTGGATGTCCACGCCGGGCCATACTTTGGTGCTCAAGAAGGCAATTGTATCTTGAGCGACCCGAATTTGGGCATCTCGGAGGCTTTCCGGTTTCTTGCCATCGGCATCCACTTCATCAGCAGCGTAAGCGTTCTGCTCCGGCACCCAACACAACAGGGTGTCCGTTTCCAAATAACGCATCGCTGTTTTCAATATTTGATCTCTCGTGGTAGTTTCGCCTCGAGCATCTTCTGCGGCAATATCCGCTGCACGGGCGGTCAGAGAAGTTAGAGGGATGAGGTGGTTCTTTAGCGCTTGCTGGGCAGTGGTCATGACATCCCACTCCAGCGCGATCGCATGTGCAAGATATGGCTTCGTTGACGGTATGGATAAGACGTCTTTGGAAGGTGTCCGAATAGGGCGTGTGTCTAGCAGGACCTGATAGTCCCCATCTGAGAACAAAACATGTCAACGCAAGTGTCCCATGTAGACTGATCGCAGGAGAAGAAATGCGTACCTGGCTTCTGCTTGACATCAACATTCTTCCAGAATCGCTTCTTGAGCACAGATGGTTTTCCTGGTAGCGGACTTTTCTCGGTTTTCTGGTGCAAAGCCGCATCTTTCTGTAGTAGCTCTGGGTCGGCAGATGTAGGTGAAGGGGCCTTAGGTGGGGGGCCATGAGTAGTAATGGGATGAGCAATGGCGGACTTCAATGCTGAGGCACTGATAGAACGTGCAACAACATATTGACGTTGCGCACCTCTGAAGACCGCCTGCCGCGAAATAGCCGTAACGGCCCGATGAAACGCGGGCATCGCCTCTCAGTCAAATGATCGAGCGAATACAAAGGAGTTGATTCGAACAATGATATGATATATTTGGCGTGGCTCCTCCTGGAGTTTTAGAGATTTTTCGACCGAATTTCTGCGTCTTTTCTCCTGTGAAGCGGACCGAATGGTAAATCGGAGGTTTGAGCTTGTTCGTAAGCCGTATTGCGGAGAACTACTAGTCTCCGATTGGAACGCCACATGCGCCACAGCTCCGCCACATACCATCTTCGCTGGTCGCTGCATTGAAGCAATGATAGATGATGAAGACAACATTATAGAGGTAGTTCAGCGGTCCACCTGCTTCTTTAGAGGGTTGTATACCGATCGTCCTCGCCACAAGCAATCAAAAAATACAACGTCAAGAACGAATGAAAGGTAATCATGATACGGAGCGAGTGAAAAGAGACATAAGATGTATGTGCATCAGTTGCATTATTTACGACGATGCCTGGCGACGCCTATCTATCGCATCGCACCCATTTCATAAGCACAGCACGTTTCAAATTGATTATTTTGATTGCATATTGAGCATTAAATATTATGCATAAAGTGTACGAAGGAGATCAAACCCAAATCGACAATGAAGATGGGAACACTCCAGCATATTTTCCCACATGTAGAGTCTAGGGGTAGGAAAGCAGAAAAGGATGGAAAAAAGGAAAACTGAACATACAGGCGGCAGTGAGGGAAACAGCACATTAAGTACATGCCAATTTGGATAAGAAAAGATCCGCCCACGCTTTTATAATTTACAGAACTCAGAAGGCTTGAAATAACCAGAGTGGCCAGAATTGGAAAGGTTGTGTCAGGTACTGGTGTTGCAGACCCAAACAACAACCACCAATCAAGGAGCGAGAAAAGGAGACACAGGGGAAACTTTGAATGGAGGAGTCAATCCGAGCGTAGGAGGGATATTTTTTTTTTTCTTGGACGGGGCCGTGCGTGCAACAGGATCGGTCCATTAAATCTCGAGCAAAGGGTCAAGTGAAAAGATAAAAAATATCTGTGCAAAGAGAAATTATACATCAACTGAAGGCCATGGGAACCCTAATCTCATTGTTCCCAATTTAGCGTCATCAAGGCATTTCGTCGTAATAGTGTATCGTGTAACCGAGATTCTAGAGCGATTGCTGGAAGGTCGCTGGGATATCAAAGGCGAGCTTCAGTAACCAGCAGGACAGGCACGCCCGGGGTGCGAGCAGTCGCTGAACCACGGACACGATAAGAAGGTTGGCTCAAGGTAAAAGCAAAGGCATTTAATAATTTGACATACGTCCACACACCGCGCATGTGGGCTTCATTGAGTTATGTAACTCGGGTAATAAGGCCGTTTCATACGGTCCGTGTCCGTTCGCTTCTTCATCCGCTCCGCGTCATAATCATCGGCACCGTCTCTGCTACCCCATGTGGTCTGAAAAAATAATGGTTCGGTTAGCAAATCTGAGTCGGATAGCAAGGAGTAGTCATTCGTTCAACAAGGCCAGATGTTGCGTGAAAAGGGAAGAATTAGATGCCAAAAATTAAGACGGAACAAGTAATAGCCACCGTACTGAACTCGGACAGCGAAGCACAGTTGATAAGAAGAGGGAATGAGACCAATAATGAGGAAAGAAACCCGGAAAAAGCGACAAGCAAGCTAAGAAAAAAGTGGAAGGCCGGAGTGCAGAAAGAGATCGGAAGTAGAAATCAAAGCGATGCAGAAGGCAAAATCGGGTTACCAAGATGGGGAAGGCCGTGGGTGGATACAGGGAGGGCGAGGATGAGGTGAGGCCCACGGCCAATGCAATTGCATTATGGGAGGGGTTGGGTGTCGAGCACGCAAGCAGGCCAAGGGCTAGAGCCCACTTCCATGCTACAAGCGTCGCCCAAAGATACTAGGCTGCACTTGCGCATGCACCCTTTGTAGAAACGAAACAACGGACCAGAACGCATGTTGTGTTGGGGTACTGCAACTTACCACATTCAGAGTTAGTACGGCGTATATTTTAATAGCTCCGTGGAAATAGCCGAAGAGGATGGACACCGGCAAAAGGATAACATCAACCGGGTAACGGATGTAATGTCCGATAAGTTTAATGAACTTGCTAATAAACATCCACAGTCCGAGAGCTTGCATAGCTAGCGCGTGCGTATCATTGTCCCAAGAAACCGTAGCCTTGTGACATAGTATAAGGAGCAATAAATCGCCGAGGAAAGCTGGTGGCGAAAGCGTCGTCAAGTGAACAGCGTATGCGCTCCAAGGCTGGCGACTAGTAATACAGTAAACCAAGCGTTAGCGTGCGGATCAGACAGACATTTACAGTAAGCGGCCTAACGAAAAAGAAAAAAAAATTTCCACAGTCGGATACCAAGACTAGGAACGACCTAGCCTTCCAAGGCCGACGGCCAGTTCCTTATGCCTGGTAGAAAGATCTGGGAAATGATAATCGGAATGAAGGGAAATACCATCCAACGGCGTCGTTGACCAACGATGTGGGAGGCAAGCAGGGTTTGTGAATGAAAGGCCATTCGATAACAGGAGATAAACACTCATCCCGGTGTGCATTATACGCACGCTCACCAGACAAGTCAGATAGGGTAGACTTACTACCAGATGTGTTTTTCGTGAAACATGCTTGTAAGGTTGCTCCTCCAGTTGCTTCGGGACCAGCGGGCGCACTGCTTGAGAAACTTGGGGTTGTCTTCCAGAGTTGTCAAGACCTCCGCTTCAGGATGATATTGCATGTAAGTCTCCCAGCCATGCGACACCATCCAACGGGTAATGAAATTGTCGTCGTCTGCGTTCAATTGGTACTTTCCGAACCACCATTCTTCGTTGGTAAATCCATACGTGAATCCCTCGTTCTGAAGGATATCTGTTCTGTATGCGACTGTCCGGCCTGACATGCAGGGAAGTCCACCGTCAATATGCGTTGTTGCCGCACAATCGAAGTTTCTTCGTTCCAAGTAAAGTGCACCCAGAAATCCCCATATGCGTTGAGAGAATGATGGCGAAACAGCCCGTCTCAGACGTTGACAAGTTACCACACCACCGAATCGCTCATCCTTTTCGAAAGGTGCTAGCATCCAAGGGAGGACTGTGCGTGGCCAACTCACGTCATCATCTGCAAAGACTGTGATAGTAGTCTTGACTTCAGGGATCGCTCTTGTCATTTGTCGGCGCTTGTTGGGGTGAGTAACGGTGAACAAGCGGATTCTTGACTTCGAAGCGGGCATCAAGCTCAGCATGTTCTCGGCTTTTTGTCGATTCGCTTCAATGGTGACCAAAAGAAGTTCGTAGGGCTGGGTGTCGAGAATCGTTCTTATGGTTTCCACGAGTTCATCACCACATCCCTCTAACGTTGGTAAGATAACCGTTACATCTTGGGCAGTCAACTTCGGATTCTCCGGCGGAGGAATTGGTTTGAACGTCCAGAAAGAAAAGAGATTCACAACAAGACGGAAGTAGCGATACAAACTATATATCAGGAGAGTCAGCTAGAGAGATTCGATACAATCAGATGTCCAATCACTGGTGATATATCAAAAGTAAGCTTCAGGCCAGTTCAGGTCAATACTAACAAGAGGGCAATAAATGCTCGCATGAACGGAAACTCCATGATTGAAGCAATATGATCAGGCCTAGGATTACACTCCTCAAGCCAATCGATTGCTTCGGTCGCTATAGACTTCACTCAGAATTTCGTCCCCGATCTCTCGCTAATGCTGGATCAAGCTACAAACACCGGGACAGGCACTGCGCACTGTGCTCACAGGGGCGCGTTATCGGGGGATTTGAGAAAATGACGAAAATTCTGGGCACCGCTCTGCCAGCATAAAAGTTTTGTTGATAATTGACAAGTTGAGGAGAGGAGAGACAGAGAGAATATGGGTATATGGTCTCCTAGTAGGATGAATAGGATAGGAGGACGGAGGTAGAGGCAGAGAAAGAGAAAAGAAAGAAAGAAAGAAGAAGAAAAAAAAAAAAAAGATAGAACAGGATGAACGAATGTCTGGGTATAAAGAGAGCCCAAGACCTCGTCAGGAAGTTCTAAGAAACTGAAAGACCAGCTCTGAGGTCAATTGGCTTCACAGAAGATGAGAATGCCTATGGGCGAACATGCAACATTGGGGATTCTTATTTGTTGCAGATGGAGTCGATGGCACGGAATGGCAGGGAAGGCACATGTTCAAGTCCGGCATCCAGACAATGGATTGAGCCAATCCCTAGAGAGAAATATAAATAAGTTACTTGTGGGCTCCAGTTCCTTTGTCATTTTGAGTGTCATGCAGGTGTATTTTTGCCTCGTGCGTCAGAGACCCTGGATCTAGATGGACTGATGGAGGATAATGCGGGTGGAGAAAGGATTGGCGGCGGTCCATGCAGCTACTGTGCAGTCCACTGCAGTGACATGGGCCAGAGAGGGTGGAGACTGCTGATGGTGTGTGGGTGTGTTTTCTAAGGCTAAAGTAGGAGCTAAAAGCACGTTAGTGGGCGTCTCCGAAATTCGCAGTGGTTTAACTGTGTTGGGGCCTTTGGGGGTGTAGTATTCTGTACTAACCGGTCCGTCCTAGTACCTCCTTAGCACTATCTAGTCCACTCTGTTCTGCGCATCCTGCCCGGGACGCTGTAGACTTCCTTAACACGAGAGTCATTATTATGGAGTAGGCCCAGTATCTCCTCGTACTAGCCACCTCTCCCTAAGGTACTTTTACCAGAGCGAAGCTTGAGTAGAGAAATGCCTCCCTCCTTTCCACTCCACCGTCCATGGTCATACACACACACTTTCCTCCCCTGCAACAGGATGATACATTCTCCATCTTCGCTTTCTGGACTGACTTCCCCTCTTTTCTTCTTCCTTGATTTCTATTTTTCATTCATTTCTTCATCTTGGTTTATTCTACCATTCTGTTTTGTTTCCTTTTCTATTCTTTTCCGCCTCTTTCCTTCCCCGGTCAAAGTGGACCGAATAGATGGAAAGGGGCAGAGTATACAGAGTCATACGCCAGAAACCCTGAATGGGAATAGACAAAATTCATAATCATTTATATATTGGATATTGAGAAAAATGATCAAAATGAAAATAATAAAAATCAGACGGAGAAAAACAAAAAAGGAAAAGGGAAAAATAAAAAAGATTGGATAAACCTAACATAAAATCATCGGTGGCTCATTCATCATTCCCGATGGGCAAGTGACGCCGATGAGCCGACAGGCAAAATCACCTAGATAATACTTGGTAAGAGGTGGTGGGGGGGCAGAGTTCGTTTGTCGGCTGGATGATCAACCAACAAGGATAAGAAAAAAAAAAAAAAAAAAAAAAAAAGAGGAAACGGGGACAAAAAATCTCACTTGTTTCCGAATTCCATGCGTAATTTAACGTCTATGCGAAGAGAGACAACATGCTCCCCCTATTGAAGCATTACCATTAAATCCGGGTTAACATGTCAAGCTTGCTATCATCATGATTTCCCGGGATTTCCAAAGAATCAAAGGAGAGAATGGCCGCTACCGAAATTGAATCGAAGCTGTTCCATACATGACAGTGACGACATAGTAAGTTCTTCAAATCAACGTTCGAGGAGTCTGATCCTGTAACAACATACAATTTCTATTTCTATCCAAGTGCAGATTGCTGCTGCATACTACCTAGTGGCATTGGTGAGAACTAAAATAGCCAACATAGCAGACCATCGGCCTAGACAAGAAGCTCCGATCGGGAGAAGAACGAATGGGGAAAAAGAAAATAGATGAAATAGTTGTCAGAGAGGACAACAAACCTTTCCAGAGGTCGGCAATTATGTGGAAATAATTGAGGTTACTAGTTTACATGTGCCCATCTCACCCTCAGGATTCTTTTCTTATTCTGTTGAGGGCATAAAGATAGTGGTTCTCGCAACTGAAGGGGAAAGAAAAGTATTTGTTTTATTCATGGCACATGGCTTCTTGTTTTTCTTTTTTTGTTAATTTCTTTTTAGCCCGTACCGATCAGCACAGCTCTTTGAGCCTCCCAAGCCCATAATGATATTGAAGGTCAGCCGGACAAAGTTATGTTAACTATGGTAGACTAGGCGATGATACTGCGACCATGGAAATTGAAAGGGAGAGAGATAAGCACCCATCCAAAGTTCTTCGGGAATTTTGAGATAAAAGGTCCCTAGGAAAGAAAATGACCCGAAGACCGAATGACCATTTCTCACCACATTCCAGACGTGAATCAATTTATCTTCTCGTACTTACTTAGCATCTATAGATGGTAGTGGTAGTTTTTAGCCATTGAATTACAGGCCAAGCACAGAATCTCGCATTTTGGAATTTCACTTGTTGCAAAAGGCGAACTATCTCAAAGCGAAGAAACGGTAATAGCCATGTAACAGAATACACTGAACGGGTCTGCGTGCCTCGCTAAGCAATTCCAGCTACTGCGCACTAGGCTACAATTTTGTCAACAGGTTGTCACACACGCACACCATCCCCCATGCCCCCTCCAATATCGAGGGCAGCTGTCCATCGCGGAGAAAACAGATATTTGCCTAGAAAATCTTAATCCATGGTGCAAGTTCTATTTGACATTGAATTCATTTTTGGTATATATGGAATAAGTGATACTTGGAAAGGGCGAAAAGCGAAGAACGGGCCCCCCTAATTAAACACCACTGACAGTGTGCTGGAGAACTTATACACAATACAGAATCGGTGGTAGCTATGGCCTCATTGGCCTCAAACCGAAAACGTTCAGGTTAACGGTGATCCTAGCGGCGATCTCCCAACCCCGTCTCATTAAAGCCCACTACCTGCACTCGTTGTCTCCCACAACCAGTCGCCCGCTAAATAAGAATGGATCACGAAGCTTGGGTGGGGTTTAACAATAACAAATGCTGCCATAGGCTGGAAGTAATACGAAGTCGAGACCATTCCCCAGACAGTGACACACCACTGTCTCTCAGCTAGTAATGTCATGACCCATAGCATGGTCGGCTCCGAGAACATGCATTTATCAGCTGAAAGTTAATCCGAGACAGAGGTCTCTGGCCCACCAAATCAGAATATGGCTATCAACTCTGAGCCATGATGATATTTTTGAGTAGCTGGAATTTATCTGTACGCTGTAAGGTATATCATAAAAAAAGGTTCCCTTGAGTCACAGTCCCGAGCAGTCATGTGCTTCGGAAGATCACATTGACAAAGCTATTCAGTTTTTCCGGAGCACGGCTCCTGCACATGTGCTCTTGTACAAGAATGTTGGTGTTGCCTCACAATTTTAACTCGCGAAGTTACTGGGACTGCATATGACCAAAGCGGCATTTTTATGGGCTCTTCGGCCAACCGTCCCTCCCCACCCGGTAGACATGGAGTTCCATATGCAGCTTGTGGCTTGCTTAGTAGATCTCAGATATCTATGGAGGTTATGCGTCTTGCTTGCTAACGATCGACTACTATCTCGCCATCAACCGAATTTGGAGTAATAGCCGTGATTGGTGTTCGACTGGTCTTAGCAGCCGTCGTGGGACTATGATTTGGACAGTTATTATGTGAATCCTGCCAGTAGCTCTTCTTCACTTACGTACACTGACAAGAGTACCCTACTCAGATAGCTTAGGCGTAACCAACAAGAAGTAAAGCAGTAGTACCATGGACGGATTAAGGGCATAGAGAACCGAACCGTGTAGTAGTACTTAGTAGTAGTAAGTTGACTCTCGGGCTTCTCAACCAATCATCTATGGGACCGCTGTAATCTCTTCGTGAGCATGGATAGAGACAATAACTCCACATACACACGATTAGCATCGCTAGTAACAATGAACGTGCGGCCCGAGCTCTATTTCCCAATAAAGACTTGACTCGCATGGTAATATGTCAATGTTATCTTGGCATCGAGGACGCGTGCTGATGGAACCATGGCCAGCCATCATACGGGCTGCTCCTTCGCATTTATTGGTACAGATAACCCACCAGCCTTAGTGGCTGCAGATGATAATCAACCCTCCTGCAAGTCACCTTAAACGGCTATGTGCCCCAAGGCTAGGCCGGGGCTCCTCCACTCAAGCAGTCCTACACCCTACCGTCCGGACTAGAACGAGGTTCGGAATTCTAAGCTAAATGATCACCTAACTAGCAATAAGCAGCTAGCAGGAAAATGGTGAACACACTCTACATGATGTAGTATGTCTACGTGCATACAATACCATAGTAAAAGACTCACAGATCATGATTTCTATTCTCTGTAGAGAGACTCATATTGACCTAAGGACAAGGAGAATATTGATGCAATTGCCTAAGAGGTTCAGATGGGGAGTTTTCCCCTTACTAGTTTGGGAAGGTGAGGTTCTATTATTCCAATATTCTGACATAGATTGATGCGCAATTTACATGTGGTATCTTTACAAGGGTTCATATTAAGCACTATCGGTCCCCATGCTTCATATGGAATTGGTCCGTCTCGATCCGTTCACCATAAGCTAATAGACTAGACTATAAACAAGGCGACGTTGCATTGGCTTTGACAATTTACTAATTGTATTCCGTCTTCCTCCGCGGCCCTAGTACCAAGTTCGTATAGTATATTTCTAGGCCTCTCTGCAGAGTATGGAGGGCGTTCTTCAATGTGTACATTCGCGTGGTTACTGCTGTTAGGATATGATTTAGCTCCTCGAAGAAGCAGCCACACACATGCATAACAATCTTCTAGGTAACTGAAACAGACGCGTACCTATCTCGGCTGCACGGACATTACTTGCCTCCGCCGAGCTCCCCACCCTCACCCGGGAATGACCGAGGACCCATTCAAACGCGTTCGGAGCAGAACTGCTACTGTGTATTTAAGTGCTAAGATAGTCCGGGATTTTAGCGCAGGCTGTCTTGTCTATCTTTATAGGATTTTCTATCCCTTTTTTTTTTTTTTTATTTCTCGTTCTGCGTGCCCCATCCCAAGATAATACTGACCTGAAAAGAGTAGTAAATCTATACTAATTTATGTCTTTGTGTAATATGTTGGCGGTCTCATGAGAGAGGAGGCGTATACTTATTCGGCCGGTCGGCCAAATATCCCCTGCGGCCTCTCACTAATTGAGGGAAGGAGGAAAGTTTGCAAGTGTCAACAGAAAGCCACAGGATAGCCCGGAAGAATATCACACCATTACTTTGACCTACCAGTAAAGCCCCACAATCTAAGGGAGTTAGTACTAGGTGCCACTGCATAGTAAAGTGCGCGTATTAGCCGTTCCCATAATCTCCGGGCTGAATTCTACGACTTCATGCGTAGCTTCAAAAGATGATATTACCGATCACCCTTGAACAGGATAGGGGGAGGGGGGTGTGTGGGTGAGCAACAATAATAGCGAATACCTGTAATTCTTCCCGTGTACAGCGAGGAGCTAGGTGCTCCACGATTTCGACGCACTGTTCAACCGACGCTCCATATCGAAGTCTGGAACCGTCGACGGCAAGATTATCCATTGATATCAACCTAGTAAGTAAACTTACTACCTCTTACCGTAAGACTAGTAGGGCATAATTTCGTTTCCATCAGAGATGCGGAAGTGTCATGCAGCTCATGCCGTCAATCGGAATGTCAGCCGTGTGTGTAACTCAATCATATACTTACTACCATGCTACTCTTAAGTCAATATAATGGTCAAACCCTCCAAAGGGCTTGCTCTGACAATGTAATGTGACGAGAATAACCCAAGCACTAAGCGAGCATTACCCTACTTTCTGCACAAGTTTGAAATACAAAGGCAACAGGGAAAATCAATGGGGGGTTTCGGGCTGGGTCTAGTTAGTCTACTAGTCATCAATACTACCTACTTACTATGTATGGACTTGTAGTAGTAATTATTACTACTTAATACGGCGCAAGTTGGCATGAAGACCGAGGAGGCAGAGTCTCCACTCCGAGCTCCTTAGGCTGACTCTCCCAGAGAATTAGTCGCAGGAGGTAGCGGACTGTGCACAAGTTAGCGCAGGCTGTTTCCTCTTGTACTGGTGGGAACTGTTCCATACCGTCCGTAGACTGGGGCGCCTCGGCATGGGGGCAAATCTCCGCTACAGCGTTGTGGTTCGCTTACCCGGACAGCAGGCAACTTACTTACTTTGCTAAGGAGCTGTGCCGCTCCCGCTAGTTAGTCTACTAGTTTCGTAGTCTACGTGTTTGGCGGCGACGGGCGACACACTGGGCTGAGACTGTCCTGTGCTTCCCAAGACACAGCCCGCCCGCGCTTTTCACCATTTGTAAACACTGCGCCCCCCCACCCCACCACTCCCAGTCAGGACGAATTGATTTCCGTCCTAAGGGATCAGACGACGCAGGAGACTCCGGCTATCTAAAGTTAGCAAGCTATTAAGGAGAGAGGTAGTGACAGTCGTAGTAGTTGAAGTAGCAAGGGGATTAGGAAAAAGTGTGGAATTCGTCTATTGTAATGTGTAGATGACTATTATCATTGTTATCATTTTTTTTTTCGCCCGTGCCCTCCCCGGACCTCACGGCAGAACCCTCATTTCGCCCCCTCTTACCACAAACCTACTCGGGTGATATTATTGTCTGGTAGACTACTCATGCTAGTACGGAGTTCTCCAAGCTCCTCTCGTTTAGTCGCATCTTACGGCAGGACGGACTGCCTAGGTAGGTAGGAGTGGCGGATATTTGTGGAACGCTGCCTTGCTATCATAGGCTGAACGCGGGAGTCGAAGACCTCGCTCTTGGTGGCCCGTGTGAGGTTCGGCTGCGGGCCTGAAGCTCGGCCAGGCCATCCTGCTTACCACGGAAAAGGCGTTAGCAACGTTGACTACTGCACCACTTCTGCAGCTAATCGAGTCAATCCAGCAGCTAAAACTAGGCATGAGCTAGATTTCCACTGGACTAGTCTCGTTTAAGTGACTTCTATGCCGGTTGTGCGAATACTACTACCCCAATTGTCACTCGGGCTTGTTTGGCTTGATCAAGCCTCCAGGAGAATCAAAAGCAAATGCTCTGCGTGGCTTTCACGGGGTTGCAGAACGGAGTTTCCGGAAGGAGTCCGAAACTCTTGAAGGTATGAAGCGAGTATTGTTGTTGTTGTTGTTGTTGTTGTCGTTATTATTATTATTATTGTTATTATCATTATTATTGCAGTCTTTATTTTAATGATTATTATTTTGCCTATGGTTACTGCCACTAGATAGGTTGAGTATCACGACCCGCCGATGCTTCTCCTGCACAGCCGTTGGGGCCAATTCGGCGCAGCAATATCAACAATGAACTATCCCTGGACTGAGCCTGTGGCTGGCTCTGTGCAGCAAGCCAGCTTCTGGTCTCAATGACATGCAAGCACCCCTATGCCGAAATCTCCTACAACATTTGTGAGATCTCTAGAAACGCCATGAGCTGCAGCAATGCCTCTATACTACCCATAGAATTTGAAAAGTGTTCTGGATGGGGTTGATCAGTCCACTGGATGGGGACTGTGCTACGCGAATAATTAGCAGCTTCCTGTGCTACGTGACCTTGTCTAATGACACAGACTGACCGTTTCTCCAACACACACTTCTCTCTCTCTCTCCCTCCCTCTCTCTCCCTCCCTCTCTCTCCCTCCCTCTCTCTCCCTCCCCGACAACATATGATAACAAACACTCATCGACCTCCGAAACGGGCGGTCTTTTGCTATGGCACTTAAGGGACTAGCATATGCATCATGAGGTCAGGGAGTTACAATGCCTTGCATATCATTCTCTAATGCAGTCAAGGTTCCGAACAAACATCTTCACCCCTGCTCTATTCTAGGTAGTTCGGAAATCCAGTACCCGCTAGTTACTTGCAGATAGTGGCACTGATTTTCAAATTTATGATGTCAACTTCCCTCCCCTCCGTCCCTCCAGCTCAAGCAAGGCAAGCCCCCTCAGCGATCAATCGGATGACTTTGAGGCTCCCTTGTTCTGGACCAGGCCTATTGGTAACATAAGCATCCCCAGGCAATGACGGGGATGCAGACTATGCTTCCCCCCGATACACTAATGTGTGCGTATCAACAGGGTACACCCTCTCTTCCCCAAGCCATTTCTGCATGTGTCTTTCTAGAACATCTCCATGGCACCAACGGTGTTCCGTCATGCGTGTAGTCTAGTAGCTTGTTTTACAACCGGCAAGGATGTATATGGCGATCTTTGTCCATTCATAAAACGCCTTTGTCTGGGTAATACGCTTCTGTATCATCGTTCGTCTTATGTGCCTAACTATGTCACAGCTTGTAGTTTCCTGTCTTCTGTCTGTGACTCTGATAAACTGCTAGCTAAGGTGACCAGGCAAATAAGAAAGATCGAAACACATTTCCGTATTACGCGTTTTTCTACTGTGTCAAACGGCCTTGAAGAAAACAACTCCTCGCTTACTCTTCCAGGGTGTAAATTGCTAACATTCCGTGAACGTTCACTAAGACAGAGTTACATGCATTGGCTTGCGTTGCCCGGAGCAATATAAGGCACAGAATGGCGACGATTAGGTGTCCTCTCCAGGAGCCCATAACCAATCTGCAGGATTAAATAAAACCTCGAAGTCCACACCTCCGAATAGTCCGAGGGCGCCATACAGATCGAAATCTCCTCCTAGACCCTCTACCCCTCCAGAATCCTCATCCAACTCCTCGTAAAGGTTCCAGCCCCCGACTTTATGACCGTCACGGGTAAAAAAGATATCGACATCAACCTTCGCGTCTGCACCCACCGAAACCGAGGTGGCCATGGTGGGGAAGTGAAATTTCATCCCCAAACCAACTGTCTCTCCTACATTGAACTTGCTCGTGAACCCCTTCCCACCCCAAGAGTCATTCACAAAGCGACAACCATCATCAGAGAAGACGCCGAGGCTACCCCTTTCCCATCCTGGACATCTCCAGTTGGGATATGGTTGTGCCACAAACCCAATAGAGAACCCGCTGGCCTCGGCAGACTGCCCTTGCGGACCTACGCGGAGGCCAAGCAGTCTTACTTCAAAGTAAATAGTTTTACTTGTTTTGATAAGCAATGGAGAATCTTTGAGGGAAAAGTAGAGGGGCAAATCTGTAGTCAGAAGACAGTCGACATTCCCATCTCTTGTGGATCCTTTCCAGTGCCCCTTTTTGACAACGGATAGCTTCCCACCAAACCTTGGTGACTCTGCAGGGTTCAGATCATATTCCTGAGCAGATCTGTACAGAGAATCAAATGGCTTGAGGGGAATATTCAGGGGAAGCTTATCACAAAAGGCGTGGGCACGCTCTGCATCGTCGCAGCAGGCATTTCCTGTACTTGAGGAGAAAAACCCAGCGATCGGTGGCGGTGGAAGCGTTGCTGTATCGGGCACAGTCTCCTGCCAGTTGTGATAAAGGAGGGGCCCTTGACTTCCGGTTCCAGTAGTTGCTGAAGCAGAATATGGCGGGGGTGAGGCAATAGGCATCGTATACTCAGATTGTGCTTTTTGAGACGTGGCTTTAGAGTGGTCCGCCATTTGCAGCTTAAAAAACAATTAGACCAATATAGACAGGAAATATTGCCCCTGATGATCGCGTTTGAGACTCATATATATTGATCCTGTTGAATCTATATCGTATGTTGGAGTGACAGCTGTTGATATAGGATAGCAGGCTAATGTAGGGATGCTCTATTGGGGCGGGTGTCGCGCGGGTGGCTATGCTGAACCATGAGCTCACACTTTGCTGATTTCTGGTCAGAAAGCAAGATTAAGCCAAAGGAGAAGAATGGATACACCGAAGTTAGTGCTCACAAAGAGCAGATAAGCATTGATATCTTTTCGCTTAAACATGGAACACAGTTACACTGTCCTTTCTAATATATGTTTATATATATACATACTGCAAGCATATATAGTTGGACATGCAAACATTTCTGCTTAGGTGGTTGTTGGACCCTTCCCGTTACTAAATTTAAATAACCCCGTGGAGCCAGCCACATTGGGACTGGGGGGAGAGATTTGTTGTGGATGAAGGGAGACAGACACACACTATGTTGGGATCGATATGAAAGAAAAAGCGGTATGAGTAGGAAAAGTGAGGAGGAAATCGGTCTTGGATTTTCATGACTGATAACTAATTAGGGATTGTTGTTTCAGATGCAGCCTTTTATGTATAGTCCAGAAGAGGCATAGGCTCGACAATGCCTGCCCTACCCCCCACCGTGCCTGACTACAGCAACCAGCTGAGGTTTCAGTAGACCCAGTAGTAAGCTCGTTTAATTTCTGTTTGCCTTGCGCCTAGGTGCTCTTGCTTACTGCCCGCCCAGTGTCCAGTTGAATGTGCGACCGTCACCCTTCACTTGGTCTGGGTTATGACTGCTTGATCGATGGCCCCTTGCCGACTTACCTGTTTGCTTGGCCTGCGCAATGATCTTCTTTCAAGTTCATGCACATGCTCATCTCTTTGATTCTTAAACTTAGTACCTGGTAGAGCTGCTCAGATGCATAAAGATGTGCTCTAGAGCGCTCGAGCGGGCCTAAATCTCATCCGACCATATTGCTGGCTGCCAATTAGTCACTGTTGTTACACAACACATACACCCACTATATACATGCGCTCAAAGCTGCAGTCATCCTTTTTCAATCGAGGACAATCCTAGTCTTTCATCAACTATTCCTCGAGTCACAGTCGGCCACTGGTGATGATAACTCTTCACGGGCAATGAGCATTGGCATGAATCTCCCCGCGAGAGACACTATATTGCGGTCGAGATGGACAGCAGTGAAAAAGGACATACTAAAAGACAGCGCAGGTCTTCTCTCTCACAGCAGCTACAACGGGTCTTCCATTTGGACAAGCATGTGAATGTAAGGATTTTTCTTTTTTTTTTTTTTCTCTCTTGCTTTTTTTGTGGTCATCGTCCCAGCGAGTTGCCAACACACCAATTTCCTCCTACCTACCTTAACTCTCTGCCTTGTTGGGACAATATGTGCCTCATGTTAATACCTCAAAGAAGGAAAGGCGCAGGCGATCGTCGGATTCGATAGAGGCTCGAACCATAAGGACCCTTGGGCAAGAGCGAGAGGGGACACAGCAGACAGACGAGGTTGGCCTAGGCGGCAGTACAAGTCGATCCGCATCATTCATCAGAACAAATGAAGATGTCAGTCCACATATAGCCCAATGTCCAACCTTTCCGGGTTTGGTTGACAATGAGCTCGTGAAGTCATCAGCACACACTATTAGCCAAGGAACATTGCAACTGTCCGACTCATCCTCCCTCATGGATATGTCTTCTGGCAAGCACGGGTCATTCAGCCCCGCTACTTCAATCAACAAGGCGACGGACAGGAATGAAAGAAGGGCTACAAGGCGCCTAGAAGCAGAAAGGTTGGAGCTTGAGAAGAGGTTTCTTAACCTCGAAAAGAGCGAGCAACGCCATGGGATAAGCCAACAGCAGAAAGAGTCCCGGCGCCTTACCAAAAAACAACCTATAAGAAGCTCAAGTAGGGCATCGAGTGTGAGTGAAGATGAGTCTCGCCCATCACGCCGATTCTCTTCTCTCTTCTCAAGTTCGAGGCGAGGTTCCCGGTCACGTTCAAATTCCCTAAGCAGAAGTGACGGAGATTATTTAACTCAACTACCAACTGACGCCGAAAGATCACAATCTGGACTGCACTCGGAACCGCACGCAGCTCGATCTCACATTGCTGTGGAGATGCCTAATCGCTTCGGCGCCGTGATATCCAAAGAGCTCTCCATCAACAACGCGCTGGCCCCATACCAACCTGAGCCTGCGCCCATGCGGGAGCTAATGCCGGCGAATCCTACCAGTACAGAATCTAAGGCAAATGATTCTACCGGGCTTGATCCTCGCAGTATCGAAAAAAATTTGTCGCACGAACAAAGCCCTGTACAAGACCACCTCGTTGCCATCGACAGTAACGCGCATAGGGTAGCATCAAAAGCCCCTAGTCTTCCTGTCCCTACAGACCTGGACCGCTTGTCCTTCGCAGCAACCCTCAACCTTAAAAGTAGGGAGTCTGGCAACGTGAGGTTATCTGGACATCGTCGGTCATTGACGGTGTCTTCCCCGGAACTGCTGAATAAACGCGAAAAGCATACTCGCGGTAGCTACAAAAGCACTCGGATAGCTCAGGTGGCAGCTGATGGTGGCAAGACTTCAAGAAGTTCACTAGGACTGTCATCGACTAACTTACAAGCCAATTCGTTGAGGGCTGCACCGAACAGAACTTCCACGGACCGTTATCTTCAGAGACAGTATAAGAGCTACGTATCATCACCCCTTACAGTGGCCTCAACTGTGGACAGCAGATCCAATCTGTCTTCAAATGCTAAGGAGACTTCAAACACAACAACTTTGCAAGCTCCTACCGAGGATAAATCAAACCCCATGGATTCTATCAAGGCTATAGATCCCAAGTATAAGCGGATACATCCACATGTTACAAGGCGTCTATCCGGGAGAGACGAGGATAAAGGCGAAGGAGACCTTACACAGCCTCACAGTATCGTTGGGAACCCGCAGGAGCGCTCTGTTGTTAGCAACACGTGGGCTAGTCACCATCTCCAAACACCTTTGAGCAAACGCATTCGTACAAACCAAGATGAAGCCCATGCAGTGACATGCCGAGAGCCTGGAGTCGAGAAGTCGGATTCTCGGACTCACAACACAAATGGCAGCCTAACTGATTTAGACGTCTACCAGGCGAAGCATGCAGGTCGGGACGGACACTTAGAATCTCAGTGTACTCCACCGCGTTATAGAACTCAAGCTTGTCAAAATCTAGCCCAGAGCTTTCAGGGTGCTCCTAGGATGCAGAAACCTGAAGCCCGTCATATGCCTTATGAGAGCAAGCTTACACAACGGAGAGGTTCAATTTCGTCAAGATCCGCATCTTCTGAAGAGCCACGATCAGAAGATTACAACACCGCAGACGAAGCCTGCTCATCTATTTCGCTTCCTCGACAGGATGGCATTGCCCCAGCCAGCTTTCCTCACACTGATGACACTGTACCAAGTACATTGGACAATAATGACAACGCTGTGTCGCTCAGTGTGGGAGCTTCAACCTCCGATACTTGCAACACGCCGGAAGGGCGAATGAACGGACGCATTGAGCAATTGAGGAATGTACAGACAGTCGGCCCGTTAAAAATGCTCTTTGTCATCTGCTGTCACTGCGGCCATTGGCACGACCTCCCATCGAAAATGCATGCGAGACTCACTTCGCCGAGCACATCTTCAGTCGCCAAAGAGCATAAGCTCTCCACTGACAAGGGTGAACCACGTGCTGGCCAAGAATGTATCAATTCAAAAATACGCAAAAATAGTTTTTCAGGACAGTGTGTCGATTCATCAAGTACCAAGTCTCCTGCCTCTGCCGCAAGGTCTCAATCTCCGACTACGGTGCAGTGCTGCTGGTGTAATCATCGCATGGATAGGTCATGTTGCCAAGGATGGACAACCATAATTCGCATGTGTGAAAGGCATCACTAGCAGTGTGCCAGAGAAATTGTCATCTGTATGGTGACCGGGAGTGATTGTGAATTCTACTGTGGAATTGACCATTGGGGTGGAAACATGCATTGCAGTTATGGTTGGCTTATTAGAACGCACTTCAGCTTTTGCTAAGGGACATATTCTTGGATTCCGGACGAGGAAATGGTGAACCACATTTGTAAATATAAGAATGAAAATGAAGAATGAAAAGGACAAAACTCGCCGCTGAGGACCTCGGAGATATCGACGTCCATAAGTAGTATGATTGGAAGTCAATGGCTGCATAGATAAAGGTAGAGCAGCTTGATAAGTGAATTAGTGGATAAGCCAGGGGCGTGGCAGGTGCCGGAATGCCGATACCTAGTAGTCTACCACTACTACTGGTACTACCACTCACTACTAGTACTTTTTACCCCCGAGCCCGCATGAACGGCGAAACGTGGGCAAGTCCTTTCTACCAAGGTACCACCCGCCGTAGTACCTAGACTCTTCGCCGCCCTCCTTCTATTACCTCTTTACCAATCAGCGGGCCATTAGATGGCTTGTTTCTGGCGCCATGGTGCGTCAAAGGAACCTCTCAAATGCTTCGCCGACTGCTTCTCTCCCCGAAAGTAATCAGGTATGTATGGCGGCGCTATCCCATCGCGTTGATCTTTTTCGCCATCAATATGCCCGCTTCCATCATAAAGCCCCTTTCAATTAGCGGCATCTAATACCATGTAGGAGCTCGAGAGCATGTATGACTATCTGGCCAAGGTCATTCTTCTAGGGCCGAGCGGGGCGGGAAAGTAAGTCCTGATACTGAAGATAATAATCCGTGACATCTCCCCAGGCTTCGTCGGTCACTGATATCTTCGCTATTGCAGGTCTTGCGTGTTACACCGATTTGTGAAGAGCGAATGTACGGTACTCTATCTCTGATTGGAATTTCATCACCCCATTTACAAATCCATGCCAACCCTCCTGGTTTACCACGCCCATTCCGGAGTTGGACGCGGTCGCTAATATGCCTTTCTCCCTTAGGGCGAGTGCTGTCATCTCAAACAATTGGGGTTGAGTTCTCCTCGAAGATCGTCAAATTAGGCACCGGGCCGCGACGAACACGTATCAAATTGCAGCTTTGGGATACCGCTGGAACGGAGAGGTTTCGATCCGTCTCCAGGTCGTATTACCGAGGAGCTGCAGGGGCCATTCTCATCTATGATATAACATCCCATGCGTCATTTGCCTCTCTTCCCACGTTCCTCATGGATGCACGTGCACTTGCTTCCCCCAATCTGAGCGTCCTACTAGCCGGTAATAAGTCAGACCTTGCCTCCGACTCCGTGCCACCTTGCGATCCCCTTGATGACAATGCACGCCCACCTCCCACACCGTCTAGTACATCCAGCAAGGTATCTTTTCCATTTGGATCAAGCGGCGGCTCTGTACGCTCAAACTATGATACCACAACGAGAATGACGGCCACACATGCACCTCATGGTCGTGAGGTCAGTACCGAAGAGACTTCGCACTGGGCGGCTAAGTCCAACATTCCCGTTGCAGTCGAGATCTCAGCTCTCACTGGTGAGGGCGTAGAAGAGCTCTTCAACCGGCTGGCCCGGATAATTCTCACAAAGATCGAGTTGGGCGAGATTGACCCAGACGACCCCCAAAGCGGGATTCAATACGGTGACGGGGCTCTCTATGGCCATGGCACGAGCGATGGCTCCAGCATTCGAAGTCGCATGTCGCTCGACGACGGTGCTGTCCAATTACATCACAGACATCCGAGAAAAAATACTACTAACAATTGGAAGACTGGCATGAGGGAATGGGAAGATGTATTTCGCTTGAGCGATTCGCACCAGAGGAGAGGTCGCGGCTGCTGCTAGTATCCTTTGGGCCGGATTACCACTAATCAACAGCTTTGTTATTCGCGGTTTTCTTTTCATATTTTTTCCGATGATTACACCCGACACTGGTCTCAACCTAACACGATAAACTGAGCCCACCGCATCTTGATTTTTGCTTACAGAACGGCTGGTCGGTTGTCCAAATTATGTCGTGGAAGCGCACTGCGTCATTTCGGCCGAAGGCTTACTTTTTGACCTCTCGTAATTTGTGAGGTGATTGAAGGCCAGTAGGCTTGGTTCGTGCAGCATGATACCCCCTATAGTCAAGCACAGTGACTACCATGTTCAATAATCGAGTTAATTGAATTTGAACATGCATTCCAGAAGTTGATTGTTATCAACTGTTATTGCGGTGTGTGTTATCCAGTCAATCCTCAAGAGCTTTGTTACGATTACTTCGGACGCAGAGGCTTGTGATGGCCAAGTCATAGTCAGCACAAACTGAAGCGGGGATATAGTTTCTCAAGATCACGAGAGATATGTTAAATGATCATATTTTCTGGACCGAAGCAATTGCCTGAAGATGCCTCGCAGTTGACATCCTGTGATCCAAAAGACCTCGAACCTGGAGGCCATCTGATAGGGAAGTAGAGAGCGTGAGGAATAACCGACGTCCAAAGCAACTGGTTGCAGTTTGTTATGTTGCTAATGTCTGACGACTTTTATGAATCGACACCACCAATAAGCGTTTTGATGCCCTTTCCAGCTTTAACCTCTTCAAATGCTCGCTCGGCATCCTCGAACCTGACGACACCCGTGATCAGTTCCTTCACGTTTACCTTTCCAGTGCCTACTAAGGAGACTGCAAGCTTGTAGTCACCACTCCCATAACGGAAGCTGCCCTTGATGTTCAGTTCTTTAGTGCAAGCCGCCATTATTGGGAAGGTAATTTCGCTTCTGCCCATACCGCCCTGGACATATGTTCCCCCAGCACGCAGAACGTGAATGCCTGTATGAACCGAGGGCTCCGCTCCTGAAGCGTCAATGGCAACATCTGCACCCGAGCCTAGATCATTTTCGGTTATTAACCGTTGAGCGTTCTCCAACGCCGCGGCTTTAGCTGGCTCAAACGTGGCCGTTGCTGCGTACTTCTTGGCAAACTCTAGCCTACCCTTCTGAATATCAACCGCGATAACCTTGGACGCACCGTAAGCCTTCGCCACAGCACAGCAGAGAAGTCCAACCGGGCCAGCACCGAAGACTACCACTGATTGACCCGGGTTTATCTCAGCCTGTTTGACGATATGGACGGCAACACTAAGGGGCTCCATAAGTGCACCCTCCTGTAGGGTGATGCTTTCAGGAAGCTTATAGCAAAAGTCCTCGGGCAGGACGTAATACTTGGCCAGGGTACCGTCGTATGGAGGTGTCGCTGCGAAAGCCATTTTCACACAAAGATTATATTTTCCTGCCTTGCATGGTTCGCAGCGGCGACATGGGATTCCTGGCTCCATCGCAACGCAGTCTCCTACCTTTAGACTGGTAACGGCAGAGCCAACCTTGCTGACAATACCGGAAGATTCGTGTCCCAGGACCATAGGATCCTTGACAACAAATTGGCCAATGGAGCCATGTTCCCAATAATGAACCTTGAGGATGAAAATATCCGACATGTCAGCTAGGCAGGCCTTCAATTCTTTTGGTGATACGCACATCACTACCACATATACCAGTGAACCTGACGTTCACCAGTACGTCGTGAGGATCTTTGATCTCTGGAATTGGCCGGTCTTCGAATTTGACGCGGTGAATTCCCTCAAGAACGAAGGAAAGATTCTGGTAGTGATTGAGGTCATTAGCGATCATTCAAAGTGTGCCACTTTTGAGTTCATGGTGGTTGTGATGAGCCACCATTGACCCTATATAATGAATGTTCAATGCACATACCTGAGGGCTGGTATTCTGGGTACTCATGATGGGCGAAGAGAAAGAAGCACACGAAGAAAGTTAACTGACTCGAAATGTTGTAGGAGGTGAAGCTCTTGAGCTAGAGTATGGCTAGAAAAATGAATATCGTCACTGAACTTTCAGCTTTCGAAATTTATGCTTTTCTTTCCTTATTTATCCTTTTTTCCCTCGGTCTTTTCTTAGTTTTCGGATATGTCGCCCTAGGGATTTTGTTGCTTCTCGATCCATCTTGGGTAGCTTGGTAGGAGGTATCGACGTAAGTACTAAGGTATGGGGTAGAGGGAGCGGGGTGGGAAGCTCTTCATTGGTTCAGAATTAACCGGCGCAGCGCCAAATTTACCCGGAGAAGGCAGCTGACCGGCTATATTGATTAGTAAGTATTCAGGTGGTATAAATACTAAATTGTAGTTTAGTTAACCTAGCCAAATATACTCTTCAATGCTCGGGTGTAGAATAAATAGCAAACTAATTTGTACCACGGGCTGGTCAATGGACTGGTTTACTCGGTCCATAATCATACAATGACTGAGGGAATGCGCATACTCAGTACACTCCGATAAGCATGGTTGGCACAATCTAACGGGCTGACGTGTAGTAGATTGACTTACAACTAGTACGAAGTAGTACCGGGCATGCAAATAAAGGACTGCGTGTAGGTAGTCCTATTGGTATGTAATGAAGCGAGTATGGCATATTTCGACTATATTGCAACTCAATACGTTATTCGGGTAGTTTAATAAAAAGGTGCCTGGCATACGGGGTAGTAGAGAGTGCCTTGGCTGGTAAACTATCTGATTAGGAACTACTTTTTTACCATTTTGTAGATGAGCTACCGCAGCGCAGCCTTACCGCATTAAGCTTAGTCCGACTTAGCTAGCAATCATTCCATCCACCGTCTGTTCTACCATCCATCCATTAATCCGGATACTCATGTTCCTCCGTCTCCCAGTACCGTCTCCCTCAGTTCTCATAGTTTGCGCCAGGCTTGACCGCGGATCCATCTGTTTACCACGCGATGGTTTCACCTTAGAAAATTACTGTCTTAACAAGGGTCCCTCTTCCATGCTGACTGTCGCCGGCTACTCTCATCATGATTAGAGCCGATTCTTACCTTCGTTCGCGGGGCGCCATGCGCGTTCTTCTCCCAAGGGCCGGGTGCTACTTCAGCCATCCGCTACGCTTAGGATCTCAGAGGAGGGGCTTGCAATGGTCCGTTCCCCATCGCGCCGATGAGAAACCTCAGTCCTTCAAGCATCAATTATACGAAAGTACACAGCAACGCCTCAAACGTGAGCGTGCTGAACAGGAACGATATTCACAGTTCCAGTCCCAATCCCAGGGCAGTCGCAACGCGGCGTTGATGTTCGGTATGTCTAATGCCCGAGGCCCGCTCCATGAACATCTCTGGAGCTCTCGAGACCTTGATTGCTGATGTCATTGTGCTAGCATTGGCCTTCTTCTGCACTGGGGCTTACTATCTGGGCTCTTTGAAACCTGCTGAGCTTCCCACTTCGTCAACAAGCCCCGTTTATGATATACAGTCACCGCGACATAACGTCTCTCCCTCAAATTTACAGGCTGCTTGGGCGGACTTCGTTGAGATTTTAGGGAAAGACAATGTTTCCACACAAAACGCCGACTTGGATATGCATGCGGGGTCCGACTGGTCTTCATACGCCCTGAAAGAGGGAGAAAGACCGTTCCTCATCCTCTACCCGTCTACTACGGAGGAGGTATCTCGGATCATGAAGGTTTGCCATCAACGGTTAATTCCAGTAACCCCCTACTCAGGCGGTACCAGCTTGGAGGGCCATTTTGCGCCCACGCGGGGTGGTGTATGCATTGATTTCCGTCGTATGGATCGTATTCTGGGTCTCCATAAGCAGGATCTAGACGTCGTGGTCCAGCCTGCCGTTGGCTGGGAGGAGCTGAATGAACATATCGCTCAGGATGGTCTTTTCTTTCCCCCGGATCCGGGCCCTGGTGCTATGATCGGTGGCATGATTGGCACGGGCTGTTCGGGAACCAACGCCTACAGGTATGGCACTATGCGTGATTGGGTGCTTTCTTTGACGGTAGTGCTTGCCGACGGGACCATCATCAAAACCAGGCAACGTCCACGGAAGTCGAGCGCTGGTTACGATCTTACAAGACTCTTTATTGGGAGTGAAGGCACCCTCGGTCTGGTGACCGAGGCTACGTTGAAGCTAACGGTCAAACCTAAGAGCCAAAATGTTGCAGTCGCGAGTTTCTCGACAATACAGAATGCAGCAGAGTGCGTGACTCGCGTGGTGGAAGAAGGCATCCCAGTAGCTGGGGTCGAGATCTTGGATGACGTGCAGATGAAGTGCATCAACGAAAGTCAGTCCACCAGCCGACACTGGAAGGAAGCGCCTACCATATTTTTCAAGTTTGCGGGTACGCCTGTTGGCGTCAAGGAGCAAATAAACATGGTGCAGAAGATTGTTTCTTCTACTGCGGGTCGGTCCTTCGAGTTTGCCCGAGGTGAGAGCGAAATGCAAGAACTCTGGAGCGCCCGGAAACAAGCACTTTGGAGCGTTATGTCTATGAGGCGAGGTCCTGAAGACCACGTTTGGACGACTGATGTAGCTGTCCCTATAAGCAAATTACCCGAGATCATCGAGGCCACCAAACAAGACATGACTGAAAGTGGGTTGTTGGCGGGAATGTGCGGTCATGTCGGAGATGGCAATTTTCATGGTATCGATACCTGCCTTTCAATACCCCCAAGCCAATTGGAATGAGCTCTAACGCGCGGCAGCGATAATTCTCTTCAATAAAGACGAGAAAGCAACAGCCGAGGCTGTGATTCATCGGATGGTAAAGCGGGCTGTTGAACTAGAAGGTACAGTTACTGGCGAGCACGGAGTTGGTCTCGTCAAGCGGGATTACCTGCAACATGAACTAGGGGAGTCTACAGTGGATGCTATGCGCCGGGTGAGTAGCCATACATCCATGTTCCGCCATAACACATGAAACTCGTACTAATGCAGGCGTTCTACGCCCCGTAGCTCAAATTAGCTTACGACCCCCTTTGCTTGCTCAACTGCGATAAAGTTGTGCGGGTTGAGCCACCGGCGCCAGGTGAAGTTAAGGAATGGTAAGCACCCAAGTCAATCTCTTGATAAGCCAATATCTACTTGGTTTCAAATAGAGACGCATATAGCATGGTAGTGGACAGATAAACATACCATCTTGGCCTCAGTACTATCGTCTATTGCCTTCTGCCACCTTCGCTAAGAAGAGAGAGCGCGCGTGCGAAAGAGAAAGAGAGGGATTGAGGGACGGTTGCTTTCTGGTCTAAATATACTCATATGGATATCGGTCCTCCATGTAGCCTGCGTTTGTACCTTTGCGATGGTCAGTATAGGTACTCTCTTGTCACGTTGCTTTATTGTTGCCCCCTCCTCAGAGTATAATACGCGCGATACAAATTCGATTGTTGCAACGCGACCCGTTCATAGGTTACTTAGAGGATGTATCTCTCCCTTGAGTGTCAGGTTAGTGCAACCAAGTAGTAGATACTGCCTTGTCTCCAGGCGTACAAGACAGAAGTACTTCGAAGCCCTATGTTGAAGGAAAGGGAAAGTGCAACCGTAGATCGTTGGTCTGTCCCGGTCGGGAACCTGACGAGTCGGTCTAGACGTAATCAGCACCACATAGTCAGTATACCTACATGATCAGGTAATTAACTACTAGTTAGTTAAACTCTCATCTCTATACATCGTATTCCCTTCTAGACAGTTACCTAACTGCTCTGAGCTCACCTCATCACTATCATCACTAATAATCTAGCTAACTTATTATTATAATCATCTCATGATTAGCGTTAGTAACTATCCGGGGACGTGCAAAATTCGAATGTCAGCCCGTCGTTCGGAAGAGCCGGCTAGTCGAGTTGTAGAACGCCTCCGCAATCCGCATGCGTCGCGCCGACTTCACCGCCGCCTTCCCAGATTTAGAATTCCCTCCACTATTTACCTCACTACTACCACTACTACTGCGAACTACCACCATCACGTCTTTCCTAGCCTCCTCCTCCTTCCTCCTCCCTCGCCCCCCCCCCCCCCTCTCTCTCTCTCTCTCTCTCTCTCTCTCTCTCTTCCCCGCTTCCCTCCCCCTCAATACCTCCTACTCTTCTTCATCTTGAAACTTCAAACATACAACCCCTCCAACCCCCGGGTACTTGTTGCAGTTCCTTTATCTCCTCTTACTCCCTTGCCTTTTTCGACGGAGATGCCTGATATCGACACCGATCACCATTGCTTTGCCTCTTAAAGACTTGCTTCGCCGGCTCATCTATTATCGTACTGGTCTCGTCTTACCCTCGCGCTCTCTTGGAGTTTTGAAGGGTCCGAGTGTCTGTTGTTGACTTTCATATTGTACTTACCGTATTTCATCGCTGCCATTTCACCCTGTCATCAGGATTATCCATCTTTCTATTTCGTACTACCTTTCTCTGCGACCAAGTGTCTTGGTGTGTCTGTTTTTTTTTTTTTTTTTTTTGTTACATTTCAGCCGACAATGCATTGCGTAAGGAACCACTGAATACTCTTTCTCTTTTTCGCTTCTGTTAGTGGCTTGGAAATCGAGACAACCGGCTGTCTCAGTGAGTTAACTTGCGACTGGCTCATACGGCACTTCCGAAGACGACTTCTACGAACTTCAGTTGCATCCTTCGCTCAACATTTTAGGACCAAGCGACCGATCCGTTTGGCCGCAGTTATTCTCGTTCAGTGAGCCTGAAAACAGTCCAGTTTACAGGATCGGATAGGGTCGCATCGCAATGAAGATAAAGTCCTGCCTCACTGATCTTCCTGTTTCAGCGATTCTGAGAGTTGCACGCCTCCACTGATTGCACCTGGAAGATCAAGTTCACCATAAGGGAAGGGTGTTCCTCTTTATCTTGTCGAGCAAACTCGCCTAACTGTGTTTACTTCACGAGCCGTCTGGAAGATTCGTATCGATTATATATCCATAACTACTACATTGGGTGCTTGGGCTGGCTTTATCATCATTGTCATTGTGAAAGTACGAGTCAGCGAGGATTAAAATGCAGCGAATGCCCTTACTCAGGAAAGCATCATATGGTGGCTCATCGCCGACCACAGTCGACCTTTCGCGGTCATCATTCGAACAGGAAGGCTTAGGCATTTATGCGAAATACGACAAGGCAGCAGTTGGGACTGAAACAATCAGCCATCCTCCCTCGGGGAAAAGCCCCTCGGCTTTTTATCGTCAATCTACAAGTGCAATGTCCCAAGCGTCCACAGCCAGCAGTTCGGCCATGAATAAACCAGGCTCACAATATGTTCATCCCATGCGTCTCGCTCCACGTGCTTATACGCCACCATTAAATCAATCGTGCCAAGCATCCATACTTGAGAGCGATGATTCTCCCAAGGATCCATTTGCGGGGAGCCATTCCCCGACACAGTCAGGATTAGAGTCCTTCAAGCCGGGCACAACCAATCTAAGCAAGACACCCCGACTATCGCTACAGACTCATGATAGCTCTTCCACGAGGTCGCCTGGGGTTTCTCAGACGAATATAACCGGCCGTTCATCTTTCGGATACTCACGAGACAACGGAAGCACCTTGGATACAACATCACCGGTATCCCGGTCATCTTTGGATTTCGTTTTCCGATCTAAGACGCGTACGAGCATGGACCCTATAGCTAGGGCGGCTACGGTACAAGCAGCACGTCAGGCTTTCGAAGAGAAGGAGGCAGCTAAAACATGGAGGTTTGAGGCTCAACAGATGAAGGCAGAGGAAAAGCAAACAAAGCAAAGGGGGAAACAGCATCTGCAGACCAGGTTCACGGGTGATGACGTAGATCTGGAGGACGGACAAAAGGAGGTATCTGACAAGCCGCAACCTTCAACTTCGCAGTCAGAATCATGCCCAGAGACCTGGAGATCACAACCTAAAAATACATGGGTGCTCTTTTTAACGTGGTTACGAACTAGGATCTTCAAATTGCGAAGAAGGATGCGAAGATTAGCGTGAAGTTGATCTAGGTATGTGATATGATCTTGTTTATGATTACATATAAAAAGCACTGGGGCATATGTGCCAGTGGTGTACAGGGCTACTCCTACTCCCTACTAGTAAGAATTCTAGGTATCTCAAGATAACGCATGCTGCCGGGATACTCTGATAATCTCATCCATTCGCCTCACACCCTCCCCCCCCCCCGCTATACTTATATATAAAAATGTGATTGGAAATGGAAATGGAATTAAAAGTGACACAACATATAGAATAATTAGACAAACGATAGAACAGAATGCAACGGAGGGAAATGGGGGAGATAATGAACTGTTGCGAAGACCCAGCAGAACCCCAGCGAAGTTTGTCCAGCATAAGTGAAAGTAAGCACCGAACAAAATACTGAAGTATGCCATCATAACTCCTCTTAAGGAGCTGAGCAAGGACGTGAAATTACAGTTTTGAATACCTAGAGCAACGTAACGATGTAAAATCATAGTCTGTCTCAAGATTAATTTTCTGATTAACTGAAACTAACTAGAAAGAGCATCTACCACATTGCGGAAGATCATGTTGGCAGGGGGCATAACGAAGGGCGGCGCATCACCGAAGACGTTAGCCAGTTCTTTCTGCTGAATTTGATTGTCCGAGCCAGTAGCAATGTGCTGTGGATCTTGAGACTTCCCACGACCATGCTGGCCGAACAGGTTTCCAAGTCCCGAGTTAAGGTGAGAACCAAGGTCACGCGAATGACCATTGCTCTGGAAGCTCTGATCGAGACGGCCAATCCGCTGGACGTTGGCCGCAACATCAACAACAACATAATCACTCGAGTGCATAGCTGATAGTAAGGCAACTGGATGATGCCCAAGGGTGGTTTCCGACAGCAACGCTAATGTGGGAACATCGTATACCTGTATAGAAGATCGGATCATACGGCTCTTCTTTGAATGCTGATGATTCTGTGGGCACTGTACTGACACAGCGAAGGTATTAGTCTCAGAGCTTACAGCCAGCAAACGAGGCTGCTTGGACGAAACGCTTCCGGACCCAGGCAATTTGACTGCCCTGACAATATCATCAACTGTATCCCATACGGAGACTGCCTCTTGGGATGCTATAACAAGATTGCACCCGACAAACGCAGCCGCGCAGGGCATGCCCTTGTATAAACCGACTCTGCTGTAACGGACGCTGCAATTTTGCGCATCGATTAATATAGCAAGTCCGGAGTTGAGGCATGCATTGGATCCCAGGCAGACGGCAAGAACAGACCCATCCTGAGAAAATTCTATGGAAGCTGCACCTAGTGAGTGTGCTATGCCGACATCGATGTAAGTTTTCAAATCAATAGCTCTCCGACATTTCCAGGTTTCCATAGGCTCTTCTGGGTTGTCAGATTTTAAGCCACTGCGCTGCCTAGTACTCGGGCACCAAAAACGCAAGACTGCATCTGAACCGATGGTCGCAAACTCCGCGCTGTATGCCCGTACTGCAACATCCAAAACACGCACGGAACCTTTGTCACAGAAATGGGGTCCGTCAATTCGGGTAACCAATTCCCACAGGTTGGAAGTATCATTCCATCTCCAAAACTTCAGGAAAGTTTCCTGGAAGCCATCCGAAGGATGAGTAATTCCTGAATCCCCATGATACAGCGCTTGCATGTCTCGTATGTAGGGGCTCCAACTGTCGACGGTGGCCATCCATTTACCATCGTTGGAAACACTGATGTGGGTAACGTCCGGAGTAACTATGTGAGAGCCATCAGGGCCAATCTTCAACGTAGTCGCGTTGGTGCGTGCAAGAGCTTGACGGGATATATGGCTGTTGGTACGGATATCGTAGGTTTGAAGCATGGAGGCATTGACCAGGGGGTGACTTTCTTGAGTCATCTGACGAGAGGCGGGGACAGCTATAATAAGGTGATCGAGGTTCTGTGGATGCATTGCAGCAGGAACACACTCGAACAGGGGCTGGTCTTCAGGTGAAATCTTGCCATGAGCCTTTGCAGTTTTGGGACACAGCTGCAACCCTGTTATGGTAGAGAAAGGTTGTAATTCTCTCGCTGACAGGACAATAATCGAGTTGTCCGCTAATTTGACGGCATATAGATTCCCGCTTGTAGATATAACTATGTTGCCGATCGGAGACGAAAGATGAGGCAAAAATTGTTTTCTACCGGTGTCCAGCTGCCAGAGCACCATGACCGATTCATGGCCACCTGTTATGATGTAGTTTCCTTTCGTTGAACAGGTTCATCAGTGAAATTGTCTCTATCTTATTGTTCTTGTTGGAAGACCTACCATCCTTAGACCAACGCACGCTGTTCACAGAACTCCTATGCCAATGAAGGCGCCGAGGAGTGAGGTTTCTTTCATGTTGACGACCTCCCTCATCCTTGACAAAACGCAGGATGTCATAGTATATGAGAATAGAACCATTTCGTTCACCTAAGACTAGATCGACCTTTTCCGCATGATCCCGATCTTTTGAACCCTGCGCTCCAGGGCGATTCGACGCTGTGTATTGCCGAACATCAATGCACATGACGCTGACGGGCAAGTTGACCTCTTTCCAGATATAACGAACAGAATCGGAAGGCTGAACAAGCCCTGTCCAGCCGAAGAACACATGCCGGTCGCTGTATGCTACAATAAACTGGCCTTGGCATGCAACCTTGAGGTTAGTGATCTGAACATGGGTTTCGAGTATAATCATGTATTGTGAAGCGTCGTTAGGGGAGGCATTGAGCGCGATCACACGTTTTCCATCCTTGCGTTCCAAAATGAAAAGCAATAGATCGTTCCCAGAATCACTAAGGCACACGTCGACAGAAATCGTCTTGTGACCTACTTCCCAAGACGAGCATTGTTCGCCAGAGAGCCACTCCCACTTGGTCACAGAACCGCTCAACGTAAACACATAGAGGAAGTTTGGGTTTGCCGGAGAGAGTTTATATCCAATTATGCTATCTCCAGCTGTCGATGGAAGTGTTCGAAGAAGGCGCGAGGTCGCAAGAGAATAGACATGGACTGCAGTCTCGAGACCAAGGAGGAGATACCTAACATGGAGAGGAGCTTAGAGGGTTTTTCAGTTGCATGGTAGGCATTCAACTTACTCGTCATCACTCGTAAAAATTGGATCTAGGTTGCTGTACTGACCAGCTACCATGCTGGTAGACGACCAAGTTTCATATTGCGGTTCGCTTTTCTGTACAGTAGACACAGAGCGGGCTAATGTATACTGCTCTTCGACCCCATGCTTTTCCTTTGAGTTATTGGTGGCCGGCGTGTGCGCCTGATTGATATCGTTCTTGCTTTGTGATGTGCGACGTCGCTTGACTCGTGTATCGTCAATCTGCATTGTCTTTCCTAAAGCCGCATCGCCAACTCGGGATCTCTTTGACGGTCGTTTTGGGTCTTGAGTATTGCGCATTGGTAAGTTGATATGGAGGAAAAGACAGAAATCTATGAAAAATCTGATGAATTGTGATATAGGCTTAAAGTCTCCAAGGCTCCAATGTTAATCGTCCATACACTGGCGTAGTAGGGTCGATAGTGTTGATGACGGCCTGGCCTACAAAATTCCAGTCCCGTTGTCTACTTTTTTTTTTTTTATCATCCTGTCAGGTGCGGTCATTCCCTTTGTAGAATAGCGGTAATTTAAGACTAAGAAACAGTAATATATGCGGTATTTTTGGTTCTAGAAAAGCAACAAGTGGGGCTGCGGTCTAGTGTTTGTTCAATCGGAGCACGTCTCGGGCAATTTGATGGCAGACAAAAACTGCACTCATGGTCTTTGGCGAGTACCAGCAATAAGGGACCAAGACAGAAACATCAATTCCTACCTTTCTCCGGCTGTCAAGATACCAAACGCTTTCTGATAAATCTGACTCCTCTATACTTACTTCACCAATAGGAAACGTTTTCTACGGAAGAAACAATCAGACCAAATGATCATCCCCGTCCGCTGTTTTTCTTGCGGCAAGGTACGTGGCACTTGATACCCTATTGCGCTTCTCGAATCTCATGCAACGTAAATTCCAGGTTGTCGGAGATCTCTGGGAGCGTTATCTCCAACTTCTTGATGAGGGTATACCCGATGGGTAGGTATTGGTAGTCGATTTTCTAACTACGGCGACAAACTAACTGGAGCTTGAAAGTGACGCCATGGATCAGCTTGGATGCAAGCGGTACTGTTGCCGCAGAATGATAATGACTCATGTCGATTTGATAGAGAAACTCCTACGGTAAGTGAACCCCTGGCTGGAATTACATACACGTGGAAACTCATATTTTCAATAGGTATAATCCTACTGAAAGAGACCGAGCGAAGAACCAAATATGAACACGAGCTTTACTCGCACATCCATAAGTGGGGGAATATCTCTGTTGCTTCCTCAAATCGTGCAATCAATACATTCACGACCTTGTGCAGAACCAGAATTCACTGCCAGAGATCGTTGGCCTGAATGGGTTGTTTGCTTGCATGGCATTGCTAGAGGGTGGAAGGTCTATTTGTTTCATCTTTCTTCTCTCTTTTGCCACCTCACGCTTTGCTTGGTTTCTTCCTGGACTCTATGAAGAGGTCAGCGTTTGATTTGGAGTCATATAACATCTTGCCAGCTCTATCACGGTGTGACACATGTTAACCGCAGTCTTTGAGCACGCTGGTTGCACTCATACTTATGGCTATTTCTCTGTCTGCGGGTGAAGAATAGCTACATATCCCTACGCTCGGCGGCTTGGGCCAATTTGGTCTCGTCGGTCAAAGATGATCGAGTACGGAGTAGCGATCATGTATATCAGAGCAGCTAAACTTTCATTATCGACTTCACGGTTTAATCGAACGATATCTATGAACCGCGGGGGCCAGTATGGCAATTTTTCATGCCTAGTGATTATATACATTGTTCAAGTACCACTGGCAGGTAACACTGGCTGGGCTGTAGGTAAAGCTCATCTCAAAATGGCACCTGGCCGGGTCTGAAACAGTACTACTAGTACATATCGACCGTAAATTCTCCTGATTAGCGGAAGGACGAATAAGATCAATCGCTGCGCGAACTACCGGCCAAAGCTCTTAATATATCAGGTGCTCCGGGCTGATAAGCCATGTAAGTGCGCACGGCGGGATTTTTAGAGATAGAGGTGGAGCCGTATAGCTACTGCGTGATAGTCTAAGTCAAACCTAATCAAACAGGTGTGCCTTCTTGCGCCGTGCATCGATCACTGTCCGTCTCTGATTTGTCGAGTGTAAGTAGTACTGCAGTCCCGATACTTCTCCTGCCAATCGCATACGAAAAGCGAGCTGGTGAAGGCACAGGGCACAGGGTGCAAATACCAGGAAACCGCGCCATCGGGCAGCTGTCTGTTGTTCTGTTCACATGATGGTGGGCTAAATACAAGATACTACGGAGTACAATAGGCTAAGATCGTAAGTGCGTGTGGAAGCGCCGAGAAGTACGACCCCATAACTTCCATTGTACACGGACCAATAATAAGCCGGGGTACCCCACCATAGTACTACACCTACTACAACTAGTACTTATGGCCAATGGGTGTTTGTTATCTAATGCCTTGGTCAAAGGTCACGATTTGTTGCTCATCATCACACTGCAGCGGCTATTTTCCAGTACTGGTTAATGATATGCTTCGTATGCTCTCAATAAGATTGTGTCTCGTGTTCTTGTTTGTCAGTTTAAAACCAAGGGACATGATTAATCATTGATAGTTCGTTATTCCTGGAATGCCATCTATCCAGCCAATACAAAGTAGTCTAGGCGGAATAAGCACTCGAACCGTACAAATCGTTGCCTTTGCATGCTTGTCTTGGGTGATACTCCGAAAATATCAGTGCAATCAATGTGTGTGCCACATACGAATTTACTGTAGCAATGAAGGGGCTGGAAAGCCTGTACCTCGTACATGATAGGCCTACCAACTAGTCTCATGCATAGCGTATCACAAGCTAAGCTCACTAGGAACAGGAAGCGCGGTACTATTAGGTACTATAGAGCACCCTTCAAGAAGGATGAGCTCAACCCCGCTGGCGTTAGTCAACCAACCTACAGCACGGATAACTACTAACTAATTACTATTCACCTTCATCCGCCTCCACTCAGTCTAGACACCTATGCGCCATGAGCCGAGTTCAACTCGGATTGCTAGATCAATCATCATAGGCCACAACATGATTATAATTCTGACTCCCTTGTACGAGGATTGGACATTCATTGCTTGTATCTTGCTTCGCGAATAGTCTTCAAGATGTAAGTTATAAAACACGTTGCCAACCACAATCTATGTTAATCATTCCAGGCCCGACGGAAGTATAAGCAGCTCATCTGACGAAGGGGTAAAATACAGTGAAGAGTCACCTTCAAGTCCCAAGCAACCTAGCCACACTAAAAAGTCGGTCGTCAATGATATTCAGATATCTGACACTCGACCTAAAGCAGTGCCTCCGACAGCAACAACCCAGTCGTCGCACACACCAAATACTGCTAAAACTGAACTTACAGTATGTGCAAGTTTCTCCGACGCAAGAGTAATTGGTATAAATCCGAATTTTATATTGACTTTAGACGTGTTGGTAAGATACAGCCAATGAATGCGATTTCCAACAGCAACCCAACAAAGTCGGATGAGGACGAGCCTCCAAAGTCTGTGATACATGCACCTACTGGGTTCGGCGAGTTTGTGAGTGACCACCATCCAATGCACCTCATCTGCTGTTTGAACTGCACGGCTAACTCTAGTTGGTATAATCAGGTAAATGGCGTGCAATACTTTAGCAGCCCTTCACAGTCAGAGTCAGATGGAGCAGAAACCTTAGCATCAAACGTGGTGGCACCTCCTTCCGTGAGCACTGGACCTGAACAGTCGGCCAAGGTACTGATCCTCTGGTCATTGTACATGGATGTACTGACGGGCATCAGGAGAATCAATATGGTCCGACATCACCACCGCCGCTGACTACTACATCGATTCAACCAGCCAGAGACTGGTTTGAACGAGCAACCCCACGTGCACAAACAAGGCAGGAGTTCCTCGACATTAGCAAAGATGTCCATTCCACCAGTCATAAAGTATCAGAAATGGCCGTAAATCACTGCGAGGAACAGCCATTATTCACCAGGCCCTCGGTCAATAGAGAACTGGCTTTCTCAAGAAACGCGACTGCTGAAGAGGCTGGCCAACATACAAATGGAAAACCCGAAAGTCACCACTCACAAGTTGTACAATTGTCTGATGAAGAATCAGAGATTCGTGCTTTACAAGCAGCTCTGGCTGAATGCTGGGCTCTGTGCAATACACTGGCAACACTAAGCTCCATCCACCGTGAACGTCATGGATGCACTGTGGATACTCGGGAGGACGTCTGGAGATCGTGCTGGCGATTGTGCCAGGAATTGTACGACAGTCATAGTGATGATCGTGCACCGCAAATCAACCCAACGCTTGACCTTTGCAGAGACTTCTGCCAAACACTATTCGAGACCCGCGTCAGAAACGACGAGAATGCTGATTCTGTTCTCCGTGTTAGCTTCGAGCTGAACAATCATCTGTACAATACACACGACCGTAACCTCCCAGATGCTTTCAGAGAAAGAACCTTGGACTTCTACATCACTATATGTCACCGCCTGATGAAACAAAGGACACTTGTATCAGAAACAGACTCCCTTTTGAGCGCCTGCTGGTCCCTAGCAGAAATGCTTTTCAGCATACGTCAGAGTATCAAAGAAGGTAAAAGGCTAGGTGAGGAATTGCTTGGTTCTGCAGTTCAGGCTTGTTGGGAACTATGCGATATCTTCCGTGAAGGTTGGACTCAACGTACTCTTCGAAACTCTGATCGAGGTACACCCCGGCCAAGTCAAGCAACCTTTACTACACAGGTCGTTCAAAAACCAAAACCATTGGAGTCTGGTTCAGTTGATGAGTTGATAAATCAACAAGGAAACCCCGAGACACCAACAACAATATTCGACGATACCGCAACTGTGTCGCCCGATGACGCACCAGTACAGAATATCTTCGTCTTGGGCCAAGGCCCAGGTCAGTCTTCGCACGCCTGGTCGTCTAATTCGTCTAATATCTCGGGTCAAAGCCAGTCTTCAGAACAAACATCTTCCACGCAGACGGTAAAGACATCATCCCGGGATCCAAACCTGGCATGTGTTCGGATATTAGTGACCCAGGCCGCAATAAATAGCGGATTCCAGCGCGTCGGGCCACATAGTTTTCCTTCATTCGTCAAGTCGCTTTCTTCGGACGCGTTTGGGTCGATGCCATGGCAGGTTGCACTCCTGAAGAATTACAAGCAATTGGTAGCATTCGATCCGACATTTAGGAGTGTGGGTCCCTCAGCTCGAGCGGGTGCAGCTGATGTGGCATGCGCTGTTGAAGTGATGATGCAGAGCGGGCAACATCTTTGGCTGCGCGATCTTTACCGTCTCGTGTTCGGATTTCACATCGAGGAAGCAGTAAGCCGGAAAGGTATGATGCTTCAAGTATAGCTCTTTGGCCCACATAGTTCCATACGTTGTCTGTTGTGCTGGTAACGTACGGGTTCAGTTGCGTGCTCTCCATATGTCCGGCAAGCCTGATATGATTTAAAATATGTAAAAGATATATTTTGAAATATTTGATTTATATAAATTTATAATTTGTTTAATCTTTTACAGGATCTCTCTAAATAATCATTATTGTCAATAGTCTAGTGCTACTAGACTATTAGTATAATACTATACATCTTATTAGTTTTATTACCAAATTTAGCAGACAAGATATATACGTTACAGGCTATAATAATTAATGAATCTAAATCTTTTCATTTTATTTCAGTAAGAAATAATTGAGAAGTTTCTTATCTAAAACAACTACTGGTAATTACAAATCTAATCAATCAGAGTTGTTTACAGCCAGACTGATAATTGAAATAAGAAATGAATTTGTTTGAATTCTCTTATTTTTTTGAATTACTTTATTATAAGTTTCCTTAAATGTTTTTTGTTAGGGGCGATGTAGGAGACGTGATAAGTTCAATTATATGCGCGAACACTAGCTACCGTACTACTTAGAACTGATCACTGGCCTCCCGCGGTATTGGGGGGGGGGGGGGGGGGGGGGGCAGCGAGATATAATATAAAAGTAAATTATATATTACTTACATGATCTGTTAGATTATTGTAAACTAGTAGCTTTATTTTAATATTATCTTCTTCTTCTGGAGACTGCGTTCCTGCAGCTATAAAGAACTCTGTATAACTTTATATACTCTTTAATTAGAAAGTCAGAAAATTACAAGAATTTAATTAATTAAAATATTTTAATTATAATCTTTTAATAATTTATATATAATATATTCTCCTACTCTAGGATTCTTATACATAGAAATAACACTGCATGCGTATTTTATAATAAACTGATATAAAATAATAAATATAATCATATAGTTTGATACTTTAATAAGCAAGAATTTACTTGTAAATAACTTTATTATTTATTATATTTTATTTATAATAATAAATTATATAAGATTAAGAATTTTTTTTATTTTTTCTTATAAATTTTTTTTAAAAATTTATTACTATACTAGCTTATTTACTTAGTAATAGTAATTTCTGATATCTTTTTATATTATTTATATTCTTTTTATATAAAAATAGCTTATTAATATATTTTCTTTTATTATCTTATAAAAATAATTATCCGATACATTTATTTTACTATTCTGCGTGGGCGGTGATTTATATAATAATTATATAATAAAAATATATATTTTATATTTTATATAAGAAGATAGCTGTATTGTATAAATTATAAATTTATATATAACTTAATTATATATCATATATATTTTTATATTAAATTACTAATTTCCTTTTCTTCTTTTAGAAGTGCGTGGTGTGACAACCTGAAGACTACTATGACTAATCATGTCCGAACGAAGCCTGTGTATTCACGAGGACTAACAAATCTAGAGAAGAAAGAAAAAATTCCCTATTTCCAGGGATTGAGTTATCTTATATATCTCCAAAGATTAATTCCTGCTTAGTAAGTTCTGTTCTTTTCCTGCTATTCTTCTATTAATCTTTTATTAGTACTCTTGGTTTCTTCCTTTTATCTCCCGGCTGGTTCCTGTCTTGTTATTTGGCAAGTCCCGTGTCCTGATTATCTCCTTGGGGATTGCCGTCAGCGATCCTCTGAGTCTGTGAGGTCACGTGACCTGTGCGATTCAGTCACGTGGTGCGTCATGTGACGACCGAGGTGTCACACGTGGCCAGGTGTATAATTATTTACTAAGAGATCAATAAAAAAAATTAATAAAAATAACTTATTTTTTTAATATTCTATATATTATCTATACTTATACTGTTATTTATGCTGCTGCTATTACTACTATTATTATTAATATTTTTTTTATTATTAATTATATTATTATTAATTTTATTATATCTGTTTTACCTACCATGTCTGTTTTATTTGTTATATTTGCTGTAATTGTAATTATGATTATTCCTTTAATATACTACAGCTATTCTGCGTGTCTTTAATATTATTAATATTTTATTTTTACAGGATCTTATTCTGATAATAATCTTTATTATATAATTTCTATTAGTTATATTAAATATAAATAATATTCAGCTAGCTATTATATCTGTATATAAATAATTTTCTTATAGTAGATATATTAGATATAAATTCTAGTTAATTTATATAATACATCCCCGGTAAGTATTACTATTTGATAATTATTATGATAAAAATTTATTAGTACTGCTGGATACAGCCTGGTAATATCTTATATTAAATTATATTTAAAATAATAATATTAATTTTCTAGTATATAATTTACCAGCCCCAGGAATCCGGCTGCAGAGATAATAAAAATATATAATTTATTATTATTATTCTTTTTATTTATATTTAGAGTGCTTTGTTCAGGTATATATAATAATATAAAAATAAAATGAAAATATAAATTAATTAATTTATATAATACTAATTATTTTATTCAAACTAATGTTCATGCATGGTTAAATAAATAATTAAATATATTTTAAAATTTTTTCTTATTTTTCTTTCATAATCATTAATTATTAAATAATAAGTAATTATATTTATATATAATATGTCTTCTTGTAATGCGTGATTACTAGTAGAAAGTATATAATAAAAAGTATATAATAATAAATTATTTATATTTTTTATTAATAATTAAGTATTATTTTAAATTAATAAAGATAACTAATTTTAATAGACTTATAAATCTTTGATATTTATGAAATAATTCTAGGTGTCTTTTTTAGAATTATAATTTTATTATTATAATAGAAATTTTTTTAGACTTTTTTAATTTTCTATATAAGAATTCTGTTCACTAGCTATTTTTGATATTTATTAACTAATATTAAAGATAATTAATGGAGCTTATTTATTTAAAAATAATAAAATTCTAAAATAATATTATATAAAAAATTAAATATAAATTTTTATTTCTTAATAATAATTATGATTATATAACTGTGATTTCTAGATATTAATTATTAGAAATAATTTAATTTACTAGTATTCAAGTTTTATATTTAAATAAATAATTTCAATATTTTAATTTATATTATAATTTTTTTTATTTGAAGGATTTTTTTATATTTATAATTATATTATATTATTTTTTTATCTTCTCTAATAAGATCTTGGATATTTTTTTAATTTTAATAAAAATATTCATTTATTTTTTTATTATAAATAATTTACTAGAGAGGAGTTCTTAGTTTATATTAATTTATAATTAAAATATAAAATTTATTAATATTTTATAAACTATAATTTTTATAATATTCTAAATTATATTATTATAAATTATTTAAATTATTAATAATTATCAGATCCAGTTGTCCTAGAAAGAATTTAAATAAATTTATAAAAAATATTTAAAAACTTAATTTTATATTTTATTTATTTATTTATTTGGAGATAATACACTGTTGATTATTTTTTATAAATATTTATATAATATTTTTATTAGTTACTAATTTCTTTATATTCTTAAAAATAAATATAATATATTCATATATTAGCTTTATAAGTTATAGAGCTATAATATTTTTAAATATAATAAATAAAATATAAATTTAATATATATATTTATTATTACTAAAATTATATTATAAATCTTTCCTTACTATTTACTTGGAGATAAATTTATAATAAAATTTATAATCATTTTTTTTTATTTATTAGATTACAGTAGTAGCTTTAATTTATTATAAAATATATAATAATAAATTTAGATTTTTTAATAAAAATTATATATTTTTATTTATCTCTTTATCTTAATATATATATTATATTATTAATATTTATATTAAATATTCTTTCAAATATATTATTCTTAATAATAATCATTTTTTAATATATAATATTTTATTTATAGTATTTCTTATCTTATTATTAAGTTAATTAGAACTATTATATATTTAATTTTTTAAATAAATTTATTTTATTTATTTTTTAAATTAAATTACTCAGCTTTTTATTTATAAAAATTCTAATTTTTTATTTTTATTTTTATAAATTTTTTTATACTTTACTAAGTAAATCTATTATAAAAAATTTTAAATTAAAATATATTATCTTAAATTTAATTACTGCGTGTATATAAACTCGTGGTATTAAAAAATCTAGAATTCTTATATTATTATTAATATTTTTTATTTATAAATATATTTTAATATCTGTAGATACTTTTTTCTATAAATATATATTTTAATATTTATTTAATTTTTTATATAAATATTTAAGCTATTTTCTGCTAATATTTTATTAAAAAATTTATTTATTTTTTTTAAATATATTAAGCTCTTTGATAACTTTATTTATCAAATAAATAATAATAAATTCTATTTTTTCTTTTTCTGTAAGAAAATAAGATTTAAATATTAATTAAATATATTTATAAGATTTTTCTTCCCGGGCTAGTATTTAATTATAAAATTAAATATTATAAATAATTTTATTTATTTAATTTACTAGAGACTTAGTTTCTTAAATATAAGATTTATAAAAATCTTAAGATTAATATAATTAAATTCTATTATAGTTGAAATTTTAAATAATAATACTATTACTTAAATACTTTTATAATAATAAATAATTTTTAATTATTTAGAAATATTTCTATTTTATATTTATTATTCTTTTTAAAGATATATAATAGAATACCAGATTTCTTTTATTTATAATTGTAATATAATTATAGTTAATTATAAAATTTAATAAATTAATTTTAAGCTTGATTTACAGCTCTAGATTAAAATATTATAAAAATAATATATTTTAAAAAACTTTTTTTTAATTTTTTAGATATTTTATATGTCTGCTGGAAGACTCAATAATTAATTTAAAAATATATATTATTAATAATTTTATTTTATTATTATAAAAAATTTTATTTCTCCTATTTTTTTTCTAGTATATAAATTCTGTGAGAAGAAGAAGAATATATAAATAATTTATTAGAAATTATTTATAAAAATTTATAAATTCTATAAAAACCAAGATTTCACATATAATTTTAGATTTTAATTATAATTAAATTATATT